ACTCTACATCTTTAAGGCGTAGAGACTATACCACAAGGCATAAAACCTGTGTGCTATGTTTTTTTTATGTCGGAGAGCTATACCACAAGGTTTACTCAGCGTAATCTAGACATCTGGTAGCGTATGGATGAGTAGATCCTTCAGGCAGCTTCCCCGAAGCGGGTAATGGACTTTCAAGTAATAGCGGATCAAGTAGCTGCGGCGGCGCTTCTGCTAAAGACGGTAACGGCAATGGAACACTTGGCTGCTTCAGTTGAAGGTCTGGCGTCAGTTGAAGTACGGGACCCTCGGTTGACATATGTATTTCAAATGCTTGTAGTTACGTCACAGCTCTCCCTCAACGGTCTGGACAAGGTAAGATCTGGATGCTCATTGCCGAACAACCTCTCCTGGACTCTTATAGCCCTTGCTCCTCCTTCATAAAGATAGAGTTTCCAGGACTTAACACCGGAAGGGTGTGTGTACGCCGATCGTGGTATTGCTTCTGTGACGCCTTCGAACACTATCATATGTCTGTGTTAGCTTTTCTAATAATAATAAATGTTGTTATCGTTATAACTTGCGTCTAAGTCTTTTCCTTAATCTATATACTTCAACAGCAGCAGAGGTTCTCTTGGCAGTGCTGAACTCTTCTCTTCTGTTTTCGACATTTCATCATACCTAGATGTTCAGCGTTGAAGGATTTCTTTCTTTATAGTGGATGGAATGACAATACTATCCCGACTTAGTAGCAGTCCAAAAACATGGCTCAGCTCGTTCCGGACGTCAAGCAATTCTTGGGCTGCTAAACTGACACCTTGCCTGAACATGGGCCACTCCCCACTTTGTAATCAGGGCACTGCCTTCAAGCTCACGTCTTCTTAGGCACCTTGCCTTATTTAGTGCAACTCCTCATCCGTGACTGGCCAAGAGCAAGCTACCATGTTGAGATGAATGTACACATCTTCCTCCAGTTAACTGCTCTCTCTCTCTCTCTCCCTCTCTCTCTGTGTAAGGCTTCATGATAAAGCATCTGACGTGACCATCGTCTTTCCTGGTCAATGCTCGGCGATCGGTTTGTAGAGCATCAGTCAAATGAGCTTGCGCTGACATCTCAGTTGTGTTTCTGACAGCTCTTTTGAGTTGATAAGTGGAACGAATGGCTTGTCATCACTCTAGTCCTACCAGCTATCTGTCAAAACGTTTTCAAGCTCACACTATTTCAAGGCATTGTTTTTCTATTCGGGTGTATCTCTGTTCCGTGCATGACAATGTTCTGGAACACCTTCTTTGAGCTCTTGAAGAAGATGTCCAAACGACGAACTGTCACCTTCGAAAAAGGTTTACTTAGTCAGATCGAAGCAGACATTGATCATTTCCTTCTCTTTCGGAAATTCTGTGGTTTGCTGTGGACACCATGTCCATGCTACCTCATTACTCAATTCGATGAGTGGTTTCAAAACAGAAGACAGAGGGGGAAAGTAGATGCCCAGGTAGTTTACCATATTCAAGAATAGTCGGTTTGGCGACATCAGATAGTTCATGTAGGTCCTGGATTTCTTCGTTTTGGGTTTGATCTAGTGAGGCAATGACATGCCCGAGAAAGGTAGTAGCACCTGGCACTGTTTAGCTCGAAACCTGTTTCTTTCAGTCGCCGTTGAACTTGATTCAAAGGGTTCATGCTCGTTTTGGTGTTGTACTGAATATCATCAAAGTAACAAACAATACGTTCTATTCTTGGTGGATCTCAAAGAATGTTCTCGTCAAGATCTCTTGTGCTGAACTGATTCCGAATAGGACTCTCTTCACAGAGAATCTCCCAAAAGGTTCTCTGAAGGTGGTCAGCTTGGTGGTCTCTGGATCCAGTGGAATCTACCAGGAACCAGACTGAATGGCCTTATAGGAAATAAACCCTATTTCCAACACAATTACATTACCTACAAACATACCATATTAAAACACACCCAAACTTTATTTTCTACAAAATAACAGACAATATTTACAAACATATCAAAAAGATCCCAGAATACAACACACACTGTTTAAATCAAAGTGTCTATTAGTTAGAAATTAACATCAGCATGTGGAGTATTTGACCAATCAAAGAAAATTAAAATTCTATTTTTCTCGAGCCTACTTTCGAGAAAAATTTCTTATAAAACCCACAGATTTCGACACCTCCCCCTCCAGCCACTGGAGGAGGTAACTTATATCTACCTGTGGAAGCCTTTCATTATTAAATGAGACCTTCCATTTCTACTCTGTAGTTTGTAAATACAACTGATTTATTTAACAGGTATACCCATGTTTTCTTTATTTTTATTTTATTATTGTTTGGAATTCAGACATTTAGATTTTTAATATAACAAAACCTAGATGACTGAATTTCCTACAACCTTCCCCCGTTCTCTCTCTTTTTATATCCATACAGATACAGGAATCTCCGTTTGGCCTTAAAACTGGAGTCATGTGTTATACCCACTCGGTGTTTTGATGACGTCATAGTATTTCATACGCTGCAAGAAATTTTCACTTCTTTCAGTTTTATTTCTACAGGTTTGCATTTGACAGCCAAAAAAAGCGATGCAGTTCATTCTTTTAACCAGCCCTAGAGAAGTCAACGTGCTTCGGATATGATGACCTTACGGTTGATGGCATAGATAGTGACGTCTATCTTCCCATCTAGTTTGGTCCAAAACTGTCCTGACATCTAAGTTTCCTCTCAGGCTTGATTGAGTAGTGTTCTTCTCAAGGGATGTCCAGGTTAACTTGCTGATGATATTGACATCAGACCCTGTGTCAATTTTTAAATTTACTCTTGGCCATTTAAGATCAAGGGTTACCCACCATGAGGGTATGTTGATAAAGAAAACTGTTCCCATCTCTTTTGCTTTTCCGATTCGGTCCACATCAGCACGTCGTCTGTATTCTTCGTTTTTGTTTTACATATTCGGGTAAAGTGTGATTTGTCAACACATTTGAGACATTTTTCCAAGTGCTGGACATTTTCCTTTTGGGTAGGATGCTCCACACCTACCTCAGGCGTTCTGCTGGTAATTTCTAGTTGCTAAATGGCGCTTACATCCGTTCTTGCTTGAACTGTGAGAACTAGTGCTGGTCTTCGTGTACTATGTCAACAATGCTTTGGTCTACATCTCTGATATTCAAACTGTAGCTTCACTGTTTCGTTTCGGCGAGCAGTAGCAATAGCGTGAGATCAAACTGGAGATGAATCTTTTCAGAGTTCTTGGTTTCTGATGGCCACTATTCTCCTTTGTAGCGACTGCTATGCTTTTCCACGCCCACAATTTATTCGTCTGTGATTGTCTAGTAAATCAATACTGCTTTTCTATAAGACAATTTAGCAATCGCAGTCATCGCTTTGAACTTTTCGGTCGTGGACTTGCTCACATGTTTCTTTGATACAAAATCAGTAATTGGTCAAATTTTAACCAATTAAACATTTTAATGCTAAATCAATTTTTCCCGCGTTTTCGCTCGGAGCCTATCGGTAGCTTTAAAAGAAGCAATTTTTCCACAAGCCGCCAGTAAAGTCCAGCTATTTTCGCCTATCCACACAAATCTACGACTTTTATTACAACATTTCAAACGCACACACAGACAGATTTTTGTAACACATTATACATATCTCTCTCTGTGACTTAGCCAAGTTCATGAACCAGAACTCTATTAATTTCTCAAAACAACACATTTCTTAATTAACTGTATTCTATTCTAACAGCAAACTCTATTCAACATAGAATCCTGAACATTCTTATTCAAGAGAAACTCTTTCGAACATTCAATCATAAATCAGAATACAGTTGAAGGGGAACAACTTTTTTTCCTCATTAATCATTACACTTCATTGCATGATTGTTTTGTATGTTATATTTCAATATATATTTATTTGTTGATCCACATATGGGGTTTCTTTGTTTCTTTTCTTTCTTTTTTTTAATCGTTAAATGTACAATAGATATATGCGTTAAGAACACGCATCACACCTTAATCCTGTAGCGGTTGTTTACATACACCACGCCCACAAAATACTCAATAGCCATTGGATAGAAAATAAGCACTATTTTCTATAGGACAATTTATGCATCGCATGAGCCACATCAAATTTTCTGATGTTTACTTTGCGAAAATTAGATTTAGAAAAAATCAGTGATTGGTTGATTTTTTATAACACTCCTTTCAGTATTTTTCTAGCTCTCGTTCCTGGAGCCTATCCAGAAAGTATAAATAACACGGAAATCAAAGAAAAGAACAGTAGTAGAAACAGTAAATCTCCAGAGCTCAACGACGTACGTGAATTCTCATTCTTCTACTCACACGCACAGACACAAAATTACAATTGAACTACGCTATGAACTGTCTGTCCAAAAAGCCAACTAACCAACTCAGAATTCTATCATTCTTTTGTACAAATTTCTCATACTTAAACTCAGTTATCACATATTGCTGAACTCTGAACATTTCAAACAAGAAAGTTCTTTTAACACATATTTACAATCTCACATTAGTACAAGGGGAACTACTTCCTCTTTCTTAACTTTGTTTCACCAAATACAATTGTTGTACTCGCTTGTTTTTCAATACATGTTATTGTTGATTACTGAATCTCTTGTTATTCCTTCTTTGTAAAATTTAAATGTGATGTGCTAATCAAAAACGCAACCTTCACCAAAGCCTTCTTAACAATTTTATACCAAATCTCATTAGCACGCCACAATCCAGTCCTCCTTATTCGGAAAATCTGAACCCTGCAACTATTTGTAGACGCTGTAATATATTATTCTATATTTTCTTTCCCTCTTGAAAATGTTCAAGAATATTACGTTACGCTGAGGTATGAAATGTTCGAAGTTTCGTAGCACTGTTGCATAGTTCTTTTTCTCTTGTTCAGCCAGTTCAAAAATCTTGAAAATCCTGTCTTCCTCTGGACCTATCGCATATAGCAAGGAACTCATTTTATTTTCGCCTTCTTATTTTACAAGCTTTGATGCAAGATGAAAATGCTCAAATCTTTCTTTCTTTCTTCCACGCGGGCTATTTGGTTGGGTCATGGAAGGTAAGGGTATTCGCGGATTGAACGCCCTTTATGGAAAATGCAGAATATTCGAAGAAACGTTCGTTCAGTCACTGGGGTAACCCGGTAACACCTTGTTTTGTGTGGATGGCTGAAAGGATGTGGGCTAGTAACTAATTAATTGATCGACATAAAGCAAACAGACCAAAGGATTCCTAAACTTATTCGTACCGCGCATGCCCGTTCTGAACTAGATGCGAGAGTTCTGTCCCTTGGATCATTACGCCACCATAATAATACGACATCCAAGGAAGACCGAAGAGGATATAGCGGCCAAAACGCTATAATAAAATTAAAATACAACCCCAAAAGCGAGGGAATTAAATTGAATAAAAATAAAAACAAAACACACTGATTTTCTTTTTTCACATACAAAGAAAAATAAATTTCAACGAGAACAATATCGCCTTTAAATCTGTTGAGTTAAAAAGAAGTTAAGATCGTACTAAGGATGGCCTTGGTACGGTAACATTAACAATCTATGAGATAGGAGAGAAAGAGAGAAAGAGGAGGGGGAGTGACCAAGAAAGAGGGGGAGGGGTGTGATAAGAAAGAGTGTAAAGAAGGTCACCAAATAAAAGCGAGGCAGTAGCTGATTTTGTAGTATTTAGTTTTGTTGTTTTCGAGAAAATTCCGTCTATCCATGTTTTCTTTGGCGAAGTGTACAAAGTTAGGTTTCGGTCGCGGGGTTTTCCGTGGTCTGCCCGGGGTGTTGAATAGTAATCAATACCAAGTTGCTACATTTGCCACTGTTCCAACTCCAATAAGGCAACCCGAAATAAAGCAAGTCAAGGTTAGTGTTTTTAAGTTTACTGTTTTGTTTGCAAGAAAAAACAGTATACCTTTCTTTCAGTTTCATTCTTTTGCTTACACTTTTTATTTCGTATTCTTTCTTTCTTTTTTTATTTGAATAAGTTTATTATTGAGTTCTGTTAAAAATTGATTGCTCTCTAGAATTTGGAGACATTTTGCTGAAAAAAAAGGTTATTTAAATTGTAAGGATTAAAAAATAAAAAATAATTCTTTATATATATTTTTTTTTTTTTTATTTCCAATCGGTTTGAAACGGTTGGTGTTCGAGCTCAGAACTTCGGAGGTTGATTTTCTATGCATAGAAGACCTTTCCAGTCCCAACCTATTGAGAGATTGAAATCGTAAAACAATCTTGTTTTTTCTTTTTCCTTTAAACTAAAGTTTAGTTAATTTTAAAATTAATTATGTCTCTCTAACCCGAATTAGCAAATAAGTTCTTGCTTTTTTGTTGTTGCCTTGACAATACACACATTGTCAATAACCTTATTCAATAAGGTTATTGACAAACACAATAAGGCTTATTGTGTTTGTCAAAAGACAGGACACCCTCTATTTCTAATTGACATAATGTAGACAAACAACTAAAATAAAATATTTGTCATTTGAGCTAAATATTTAATTTGCGATTTTTAGGTTTGTTCCAAGCCCCGATCTTTTTTGAAAACTAGAGACTGGATCGTTGAGGGCACAACAGGAAGAAAGCCAATTAATTTAAATAAAATATAAAAATATAGAACTCTTGTGCGCATCTAATCAAAAAAATAATTAATTACTACAAGACCTTTTTAAGATTAAAAAAAAAAAAAAAATTGTCCTGTAATGTAAAAAATGATTAGTTGGTAATTGGTCGTTTTTAACCTAAAATATCTTTTTAATAGTGAAACTAAAAAGTCACGAAATATTTTAATTAAATTATTCTACTGGAAAAATCTGTTCACTAAAAATTGGTACAATAAGTAATAATACACAACTCTTTTTTTTTTTTTTTTTTTTATTCATGAAAATGAAATCGAACAAAAAGCCCAACAACTCACTCTGTTATTTTCTTCTCCCCAGAGATTTTTTTTTTTTTTTTTTCCAAACGTTACTTTTTTTTTTTTTTTTTTTCAAGCATATGATGGAATGATTTCATTGACACTTTTTCCTTACCAAGTACATGGAACTTGAAAATAGTTTAAGAAAACTCCTTTCTGAATTAATCAAAAACTTTGACCACAAAATTTAGAAAAAAACTGTTTTTCATTCAAATTCAAACGAAGAAATAAAGTTTTTTTAATTAATAATATTTATTTTATTGTTGGTATAAGGCATAGGAATTATTTGTCCAAGTGGTTTTACTTTTTTTTAATGAATCTGTATATTTTGCCATTTTTTATTAAAAAAAAAAACAAAAAAATTTACGCTTCACTGTTTTCAGCTGTAAGTAGAACAAGAAGCTAACTGAGTGATGAATGCAGTTTGAGCGGTATTATTCGTTTGAGTTTTATTTTTGTTTGATATTGTGAAATCAAAGTTGTAATACTTTTTTAATTTATCTGAAGAATAGAATGAATTGTATGTTTTTTTTTTTTTTTTACACATGTTCTTTTAACCAGTCACTTAAGTTATTTATGGGGGAGGGGGACAAAAAGCTTACAAATTTCAAGTTTTCTTATTGTGTGTTTCAACAATACGTGGGCGATCATGACTCTCCACAACTTCCTATCCTTTGTAGCTTTTTTTTTTTTTTTTAAACAATGTCTTTTTACTAGTAAGCAGTAAAACACCCATCATGTTAGAAGTGAATGGGCCTTTGTTTCAATTCTATTTCTCATGTGTTTTGGTATAACATCTTAGCACCCAGATCTGTTGGCCAGAAGGAATAGATGAAAATTGAAAATACTGTTTGTGCATTTTAAGATGCATCTGCTGTCCCATTCTTTGATATGATGTTAGCATTGTTATTTGTGAGCTCTGTTTAAAGTTTAGTTCTCCATTCTAGGAAATCCATGAAAGTTCTCTACAACTAACATGAAACCCATGCCCCCAACTTAAGCAGATAATAATGATGACCATATTATAAGTCTGCTTGTTCCTTCTGTTCATGGCTGGTGTGTACTGCCAACACCCACCCACCTCTGGACTGGGTGGGGAACCTGATTGGAGGCCCTGAACTCTTACTATCTTCTCAGCATTTGCTTTTTTTTCAATCTATATTGACATACATTACAAATTAAACTAAGAAGTACAACTGACTATTATCGAATAAAAAATTTCAAAGCTTTTGATGTCATTCGGGGGGATTTTTTTTGTCCAAATTTATGAATTGTTGATGCTAAATCTTGAAAAAATGCTGCATAAAATTCACTATTTTTTTATCCACAATATTGAATGTGTTAAAATTTAACTTTTTAACAATAATAATCTCAAGTTGACGTTAAAATTCCCAGAAAACAATGTTGATTTAAGATGGAATGATCTATTACGACATGTCTCTAATTTGTATTTAGATATATTGTATTTATTTTCAATTTTTCTAGTTGAATTGTTCACCTATATTGCATATGATCCATTATTGTACATAATTAGGTTACAATAAAATTTGTATTTTATATGAATGTTACCTTATGAAAATTGGGATGTAGTAGAGTGGGACCCCCCCCCCCATCATAAATTTGTGAGTGGGGGCACAAGACCATTGCACCAGCCCTGCCTTTATTAGTAGTTTAGCATGTTCATTACATTACCATTCCCTCAGATAAATAATGAACTTTTCTGTTTTGATTGCAAAGAAAGACAGAAGGGAGATTTATCAAAGATGATGCTTAGTTTTACAGTGAAAAGGAAAGCATACATAATAATAAAAAGGAGGCAACAACACTGTGTTTAATGGCTGCTTCACTAAAATGGAAAACATTGTTAATTTTCAATCATTTCATTTGTACCCTCTTACTTTAAATAATGATTTCCATCCATACTTATGGTTGCTAGTGCAATATTTTGTAAATGTGAAACTTGAATATTTAATGCAGTAGGAGACTTTCCATGAATATTTTATAGTCATGGAACTTACAAAGAGCTTATTCAAGAGTCACTCAAAGTATGAGGTTATTGAAGAAGGTTGTTATGTGAGCAGTAAGAGGCACAGTTTTTAAGGATCTGTGAGACAGATGATTGCTAAGCCTAGACTTGAACAGGTTAAGATTGTAGTGGTTAGGAAAGCATCTCCTTGGAAGTCAGTTCTACAAAGTAGCCATTTGTAGAGATTATTTTCTGTAATCTGTATATAGAAAGATTGAAATATGCTGAGGAAAAATAGACTTTAAGAAGGAACTTTACGTACTAATGTAATTATATTAGTTATCACTTCCCCTGCTCTGGACATACTTATCTCTTTAGAAAACTTACATTACCAGTTGTTAATGTATTTACACTGTGAAATGGCAACCCTTAGTGTTTGCTGTTAGATAACAGCTAATGCTAATTCAAAATCAGCATAGATATATAGTAATGTACAATATAACCTGTTTTGTATTGTATTTTTTTTTTTATTATAAAATGTGTTGGAGGTATCGTTTAGCTTAATCTCTACTTCAGATTATCTGAACAAAATGAAAATGGTGACTCCCATAGGAAATTGTTATCAGTGTCTTTATAGGCATTTTATTTCCTGTAAATAGCAATTTCCTTTTTTTTTTTTTCTTTTTTCCAAAAATGGGCCTGTACAGCCAGGCAACAACACTGTTATAACAATGAAAATGTGAATAATCTGCTCAACAAAATTAGTTGCTTGGTGACTAAAGAGGTTGTGTATTTCACATCTGCAATAATGGAAAATTGGTATGATAATGACATTTAGCTTTTTCCTGCATGTGGTTTCATAAATATCTAATGGTGGGGAGTCATTTGATAAGTCTTTTTATTTTTTATTTTTTTGCATTGGTCTGTAATATGTGTACAGTAGAGCATTACGATGCAAGGCAAAGTGAATTATAGTATAAACAAAAAAAAACTGGAGCGAGTTCTTATGCATGATGTGTTTTCAGGTATTTTTATTGTACTGAAATTAAGTGCTTTTTTTTATGAGTGGATTGGTGATAGTAAAAGGAAAGCAAAGTAATAGACACTTCATTTTTTATTTTTTTACACATTTTTTTTATTGCTTTAAAATGTACCTTTCATAAAGAATTGTTTTAATATGAATAAAACCTATCTTTAATCTTTTGTTTCTTAAATATTTATATAACTTTTATAATTTTAAAATTTTTTTTTAATTTACATGATTTATGCTTTAATAGTTTAATTGATAACCTCTATCTTTTATTGCCGTCTTATCACATAAATCATCTTGTTAAAATAAGTACCATGTATTGGCAATGAACAAGTTTGGTGTGGGGAATACAAAATGGGAAATATCATGAATACCATGTTATGCTTGAAGAAATTTCATTATACCATCAATGTCTGGAAACTTGGTGCTTTTGTACTTCTGTATTAAATTATTTAGTGAGTATTTTAGTGAAATAACATTCATCTATTTACTTGGTTGTCTTCTCATGTCCACTATGCCTGTGTTATGGAGATGAATCATGTAGCCTGTGTACTTGGGTAAATCTTTTTAAAAGCAAATAAGGTCATGTTCAGGGATCATACAAAGCAATGTATCAAACATCTGGCAAGTGGGTGTTATCATTTTGGTTCTGAAATTTCAATAAGTACCTGAATACTAAAATGTTATCAAATGGTACAGAACCTTATGGTGTTATTTTTCCTCTCATTCAATTTTGTCTATCCTCTTACATGAAGAACATCTTTCATTTTCTTTTTTCTTTTTATTGAATTTATTTCTTTTTGATTGACAAACATCAAGATAAAATAAAAAAATAGAGAACTTTGGTATTTTAGTACTCATATTTCAAAATTTTAATTAGACATCCTCATAATGTTTTGGATTTTTATCCTATGTCTCCAATGAGGTCTGTACTTACAAGGTTGTTAAATCTCCAATCCAGTAAATGTTAATATGAAAATTGGATCATACAATATTCCTTTTTTTTTTTCTTTTGTATTGCAAAAAATAATTGTAGCCAACTATCTGTTATCTTTCCTTTGTAAATTTCTGGTTATGTGTATTTTAACCCTGTTCATGTTATATTGGCTTATCTCAAATATAAGCAATGATTAGAATTTGCTTGTTTTAATATGGCTAGTTTATCTGTACAGACAATCTAGTCACAGTTCATTGTAACAAATTAGAAAATAAAGCAAAAAGCTGATGACTATTGTTGATAATACAAAATACAATTGTAAATCTAGTGTATATGACCAAAGCAGGAAATTATGTTTCAAAATTTACAAGAAAAAAAAATCATTTAATTCAAATTATATTTACAAAAAAGATCTCACCAGAATGCCTTGGAAAATTAGCATTAAATTACAAAACATTTTATGTAGGAACACATTGTTTTGTTTCAGTAGTGTTTGTTTTTTTATTTTACATTTTAAGTATCTTACATATGTTTATATGCATATGCAAACCTCTGGGCAGACAAAATGATGGCATTTGTTCCTTTTTATATAAGGAATCTCAGAAAGTGAGAAAAATGGAGCATCAAATCTAGCACTAAATCCATCTTTATTTCATTTTTCTTTGACCATATTTTGTTTTCATGATCACTTGTATTCACTTCCTGATGGACCTGTGAATATTATTTTATACTGACATGCAACTTTCATATGTATGAAGATTTTTAATAATTATGCAACTTAATTAGGATTTGTATTAATTTGAATTCAAAATTTTCTTTTTTTATGTCTTGATGTAAAACTAATTTTCCTTTGTATTATTTTATAACAAATCTTAAGCACTTCATCAACAATGAATTTGTGGATTCTGTTAGCAAAAAGACATTCCCAACGATTAATCCTGCAACAGAGGAAATCATTTGTGAAGTGGCTGAAGGAGATAAGGTAAGTAAAATGCAAATATGAGGTTTTAACTTAAAAAATGTTAACTGAATAAGATAACATTAAAAACTTGTGGTCTCAAATATTTTTTATGAAGTCCAAGAGAAAATTACCTTTTTCTACTATAACTTTAAAATGAACATATACTCTTCTTTAACCCTTTGAACTTCTTCCAGTGTCCGTGCATTAGGCTAACCTTCAGAGAGTTGAAAACTGAACCCTTTATTTATTCTATGGTGGGTAGATTTTCATGTTCTGCTGCCCATGGATATCACAGCTTGTTTTCTTTCTTCTTAGTACTACCAGTCATGGACAGAGGAATGAAAACGATATACTCCACTAAATTAAATAAGGAATTCAGTTCTTTTTCTCTGAAGGTTAACTTGCATCATCAACCACATAAAGAAGACTGGGTGGGGTTACAACGACTGAAACTTTGACATAAAGATTAATTGGTGTGATTGTAAATAGAAGTAATACATGTGCAAATGTTAAATCTTTTCCCATTTACAGACATGACTTTTTTATGTATACATAGTTGTCTTTCAAGAACAGGGTAATCATAATTTGTAGTTGTTGAGAACTTTTTATATATATATATTTTTTTTTTTTTTCTGTTAGACTTATTTTAAGACTTAAAATTCACAGGGTGATAATACTTTTCAGATTTGTTAGACAAGTGAGAAAACTTGTCAAACAAATTTTATTTCTGCTTTTTCAGAATCATTTAGTTATATATACAGGGTGCGATGGATAAATTGTCTAAATTACACCATATGGAAATAACACTGGTATCTCATTTTAACAGATATATTTACTAAAATTACACAAAAATAACCTGAAGTACTAAAGAGTAAATTTATTCAATAAAATCACCATTGGCTTCAACCACGGCCTCCAGACAACTTTTAAATCTCTTACAACTCTTTTGGATGGTCTCTTTGTTTAAGTTGGTGAATGCTGCCATAATCCTTGCCTTCAGTTCATCTTTGATGTTAGAAGTTTTGTTGGTTTCTCCCTCAACTGCACCCCATACATAATAATCAAGGGGTTGCTGTCTGGAGATTTAGGTGGCCAGATGTAAGGGGTGACGTGGTTGCAGAAATTGTCTGACAGTCATGACTGGGTTCTCCTGCTTGTGTGGTATGGTGCAGAGTCCTGTTGCTAGACATAGGATGTTCCAGCAGACACCCTCATGACCCAGGGCAGCACTCTCTCCTGAAGGCACTCAATGTGGGCATCTGTGTTGAGTCTGAGGCCCTGTGGAAAGATGGAGGTATAACATTGGCATTACTAATGATCACTCCAAACACCTTTGTAATCACCATTAGACTCCTTCAACTCTTTCCAAATCCTCTGCATTGGCCTCAGATTGACACTCAAACACTCTGAAATGTTTGCATTGGAGTTTCTGGCATGAATGTCAAGCTGTACAGCGTGCCATTTCCAAATTTCTGACAGTGAATTGTGTCATGGTGCTCTTTTCTCTCAGTGACCAACTGACCCTACTTTACTGTGCAGTCAACAAAATCAAAAACAAACAATACACCTGCACAAAATAAAAAAATATAAAATAGCGACAATTTACCCATCACACCCTCTATCTCTCTCTCTATCTCTCTATCTCTCTCTCTCTCTCTCTCTATCATCTCTCTCATCTCTATCTCTCATCTCTCATCTCTATCATCTCTCTATCTCTCTCTCTCTCTCTCTCTCTCTCTCTCATCTCTCTCTCTCTCTCTCTCTCTCTCTCTCTCTCTATCTCTCTCATCTCCATCTCTCTCTCTATCTCTCATCTCTCTCTCTATCTCTCTCTCTCTATCTCTCTCTCTCTCTCATATATATATATATATATATATATATATATATATATCTCTCTATATATATATATATATATATATATATATATATATATATATATATATATATATATATGTTTGTATAATTTTTTTTTTTTTTTTTTTTTTTTCCATGTAGTTGGGGTTTGTTATGCAATTACTGACCTCCTTTTTTCTTTATTTTACCTAGGCTGACATTGACATTGCAGTTAAAGCTGCAAAGGAGGCTTTTCGTCTTGGTTCACCCTGGCGAAAAATGGATGCAGCGCAGCGAGGATATCTTATGAACAAGTTAGCTGATTTAATTGAAAGAGATGCACAATACATTGCAGTAAGTGTATGAGCTTTTTATGTAAATTTAATTAATAAAAGTTGTTACATTAGTCCTTTTGTAATAAGATTAGCTTGACAGTACTTGTTTGCAGTGATGTGCAAAGGTTTGGTGATATCTGGGGACAACTCCTTGCTCGTATGGTCCTATGACTCAAATAGTGGAGGGACCTATAGGGCCTAGTACTGATAAATGTGAGAAAGACATTTTAAATATGTAAAAAATGGATGAGACCTAAAATAATTTATTTAAATTAAATATAATCTAAATTTTTATTTCACTCTTTGATTGAATGTCCTCCCATTATGGATGCTCAGAACTGTCAGACCCTCCTCTGCCACCACCTTCTACTTGTTTGTAAGGTTAATAGAAATCTTTGGTTACATTGAGTCAATTGCTTCGTCCACCGCAAAGAAAGTTGGCTCCCCGGAATCGATCCCCCAGATCTACAAATCAACAATTCGCCCTTGCATGGAGTATTGCTGCCATATATGGTCTGGAGCCCCTTCTGTTTGCCTCAGGGTTCTTGATAGGCTCCAGAGGTGGATATGCAATATAATTGGCCCTGCTCTGGCATCTCGTCTAGTCACTTTCTCACAGACGCGCTGTTGCCTCTCTCTGTCTGTTTTACAAATACTTTCATGGCAATTGCTCCAAGGAGCTGCATTCGCTGGTTCCCAGACTTCAGGAGTTCAAGCGCCCTATGAGGCTGGCATCCTGCTCTCACCCCTTCACTGTCTCAACTCCTAAATGTAGCCGTCTCTTCTACTCCAATAGCTTCATGTCTCGCACCTCTCGCCTGTGGAACTCCCTTCCCTATTCCAGTTTCCCTGAGAGCTATAATCTCCAGCTATTCAAATGTAATGTCAATCGACATCTCCAGTTGCCTTGATCTATCCACTACCCTTCTCCTCATCACTCCTATCTGATCTTGCTCCAAATCTTCTGTAACCCCTTGTGTCCTAGTGGCTTCCCGCCTTGCTTGGGGTGAAACGCTTAAAAGAAAAAAAAAAAGTTTGCTTCCTGAAGAATTACTAGAACAGATAATTTATCTGAACTTTTGAGATTAAAAATGACTACTAGTGCTTTTGAAAATTTCATAGTTTTGCTATTTGAATTTTCTGATTTAATTATAATTAAGTTAATATTTGTGTGTTTTTATGCTTATAAAATAACAAACTTTTCTTTATAGCATTGTTAAATATTTGACAAAATATAGTAAAAATGATAAGCTTGAATGAAGATGATCATTTTAAAAAGTTTACAGATGAAAATATTTAAAATTTACAAGTTTTCTATTTCACTGAAGCAGGCATTAAAAATATGAGTGCTTGCTCTCTCTCTCTCAACAATGTTTCTGATATCTTTTCTACATCTTCTCACAATCAAAACTGAATAGTCCGTTATCTGAGATATTGGCAAGGCATGATGTGCTGTTCTAAGGAATGAAGGAACAAGCAGAATTATATCACTATTATACGCTCATTTATTCAAACTGGTCTCGTCATCTATAATAGCTTACAGCCACATTACGTTGAAACCCCAGTATCCATATGATCACCGAAGTTAAGCAGCATTGAGCACTGTCAGTAACTCGATGGGTAACCACTTTGGAATATCAGATGCTGTAAGCTTAAATTTGTGTGTGGTGTAATGGCTCAGAATTAGAAATCGGAGCAAAGTTCCAATTCCAGTCAGTTTCATTATATTCACTTACATGCAAATACCCTTGGGGGAAAAGGTATGAATTCATATCTTCTCCCCTCAGCTATGGGCTAAATGCAAAAACAAAAAAATTATTCTTACAATCCAAAATGATTCAGCTTTAAATTACCCACAAAGGGTTGATAAAATCCAATCAATATCGGCCACTCTTGAATAGATAAAAAAAAAAAAAAAAAATTGACACTGCTCATCTTAATTGCAAAAAATCTACAAATTTTTTTCTGATGGATAAAAAAAAAATTTTTTATTTGTTACAAAGTCACAAAGGTAAGTATAAAATTTATTCTCCCTCCACTGATTCATAAAAAGCTAAAAATTTATTTTTTTAATAAATGATAATTTTATTTTTAGTCTCTTGAAACTTTGGACAATGGAAAACCCTACAAGGTAGCCTTTTTGGCTGATGTTGCTCTTATTGTCCAGTGTTATCGGTGAGTGACAATTTTAACAACAGACTTGTTTGTCGTCTCTTGACTGCAGTGCATTGTCTCCCACAGTGTTTTGGGGGGAAGTAGGTAAAGATGGTGGATGAATAATCTACAGCCTGTAGTTGTAGCTGAATTTTTATTTGAAGTTTCCACTGTTTGATTTGAAGTTAATATTCATTACTAAATTGAGTATATTGACAAGGAAATATTATTTTTCAAAATAATTATTTATGTCAAAAATAAGTTCCATAATTTGGCTGAGAACTTATTGTTGTACTTATGTATATCTACATAAATTAGAATTTTGTATTTTTCTTCTGACAAAATATAAAGGAAAATACTTGAAATAGTATTGTACTAGAGGTTAACAAAGTATGGCACAAATCCAAAAGCACATAGTGAAAGATGCCTTCAGAAGTTGAGCAAAGTATTAAGAGATTGGAAACAAGAAAAGGGTACTGGACCATTCGGGATCACCAGTCCGATGACTTGATTTAGTTGTTGGGCTGTTAAGCACTTGAGCAGCTCCTTCCATGTGTCTCAGTTGCGTGCCAATCTCTGAATTTCTCTGGAGGATCTTCCAGTCCCCTTAGTGACATTCTCAGCCTATTTTCTTTTTTTTTTCGTCTGCATATTTGCTTAAAATGATACCTTATAGGATGATAGTGGAACGATTTTTGACTTTGATGTAATTATTCCATTTCAAAATCCTGTACTTGACTGTAGTTGGTGGAAGGGCAAATCTTTCAACAAGCTTGTTTGTTGCCTCATTGTGTTTTGCACTCATTTATGATGTTTAAGATGGTACTCTAGGTATTTCACTTCTAATGCTTGGATAAAACTGTCTATGGTGGTACAAAACTTTATTAATGCTATACAGACAGTAAAATTTGTGTGTGTTTTATTTTATATATATATGTGTGTGTGTGTATGTATGAAAAACAAAAACAGTGGGAAGAAGACCAAGGATAATAAAATAAATCACCATAAAAAGGTGAATTGAAGAAAATAACAAGAGGCTAACCAGTTTCCGATCCTTGCTTTTCAAAACCAATCCAGGACAAACATGTAAATTGTATGACTTGATCTGTTTGTAAGGTTGTTCTGCCCCTACATTATGAGTTTCATTATTTACAATTATAAATGTCACTATGAAGCTGAATATATAGGTAGAACTAATCATAACTTGGAGACAAGATTAGCATGCGCCAGCTAAGATCTATCATGGGAGATGCAATAATTTGCATAAGCTGATTAATATTTCAAGTTCAGTGATTGCTGAATGCTTAATAATCCCATGTGTAATAGATTGTTTACCAGGGATTTCTTACCATAATCTGCAGAGGGTACTCAGAATACAATTTAGATGTTTGTCCTTGATTGGCTTCAAAGAGGAAGTCACACACACACACACACACAAAATTTTAATAATTCTATTTTTATAACATTAATAATGCTTGGATACTTCACTGTAATTCTCCTGTTAATATTCAAGATGTACAAAAAGATTGAGAAGACCAATGCATGCAACAGTTTGATCTTCTATTTCAGGTAGATGTTCTAAATGGTTCTTAGTTTTGTAAAAGTTGTCATTGTGCTGCTCATGAAAGTATTTCTGTTCTGGAGCCCTCTTCACAGATAATTGAGCCATAATATTTGAATTGACTCACTATTTTAAGTTCTTGGCTACTAACTTTTATCATAGTTGAAGGCCTCTTCTCATTTTTTTTCCCTTTGATCTCCATGCCATATCTGGTAGATGTTTCATCCAGGTTCTTTATCAGACTACACCATCTATGTCATCTGCAAAAAGAAGGTTTAAGTTCCAACCTCCAATGCTGACTGTGCCCTTGTGTTCCTCAAAATGTCACTGATGATATGTTCAAGAAAGATGTTAAAGAGTGTAGATGACAGAAGATATATTTGTTCATTGTTGCTCACAATGCCTTGTGCCACACTCTCAAAAGTGCATGTGTTGGAGTGTAATGAGAACGTGAGAATCAAAGCTGAATTTGAATTTTACTTGGGTTTGTTAGATTTACTTTCATGCAAATATCCCTGTGAAAGGCATGGATCTCCTCTTCCAGCTATGGGTTAAATAGTAGGAATTGTATTTCTGAAAAAATTGCTCTCAAAAAAAATGTTAAAGTAATATTCACTCACAAAAAAGTAATTATTCTTACACTCCAAAAAAATGTTTCAGCTTTAAATCGCTCACAAAAGGTTGATAAGCTGTAATGAAACTATAATACTTTCAAAGAATTTTTTAATGTCTATGAAGATATGGTATTGAAAAAAATTTTTTGTATAGAATTAAGATTGAATATCTGGCTGGACTGTTATATCTAATATTCTGTATGGTAATAATGAATGTTGGACAACTTCACAGATGAAAAAGTGACTTGAAATGACATATACGGTTCTACTGATGAATGTTGTCAGTAACTGAAACTGCTACTACCCCCCACCCCAATCTCTTGGGATGTATTATAGCAAAAGTTGTTAGAATTAGCAAAAACCAATGAAAATAAAACAAGTGTCTTTAACATAAATAAACAACCTTTATTCATTTACTGTCCGTGAACAGCAAAGATCACATTGATTGAAACAATGAATTCCATGTGCATGTCAGCTTGTCACCAGGCTCAATTCAAAAGTGGTGCACTCATCTTCACAGACAAGGAAAGTAACTCAGTTGTATTTCGAGTCTTTGTCTGTTATAAAGAAAGGAAATGCACTTTGGCATGGTGCAATGATTAGCAAGCTTGTCTCGCTAGAAAAATTACAATTGAGTGAGTTCAATCCTCACTAGATGCCCCCCCCCATACATTTTGACCTTGTATCACATCTAAGCTAAACTTAGAAAATCACTTTATAGGGGAAGGAAATTAACTTCCTCTAATGGAGTATAATGAAGAAAAAGGGCAAACTAAATCTATTTGAGTTGGAAAAAATGGATAGCAGAACAAAGAACTCAAGACTCCAGAACAAAAGTGTTTAGTGCAACAAGGGACAGGAGAGCCATGATCACCCACATCCTGATGTTGGCATGGCACATAAAAGATTTTGTGTTAAAACAACAACAAGCTTTCTTAGAGGCAGTCGACCACTTGAATATTTCAAAATTTACAAGATGACATTTAACTGCTACAAAAATGGTATTTTTTTTTTTTTTTCTCCTTATCTTAAAATCTGTTTTTGTATGACAGTTAAATTTGTACCAAACTTTTAATCCTTGAAAATAATTTACCTGTCTGTAGGTATTATGCTGGCTGGGCTGATAAAAACTACGGTCAAACGATCCCTGTAGGTAAGTGTACTTTAGTTTGGCTTATTTACACTGTCAAATTTTATTATGCGAGTCAGTTTTCACAAAGTAGGTATTGACCAACTAATATTGGTAAAATGTTGACAGTAGATTTTTGATCTGTATACTAAGTAAATTTCATCTTTATATTGTCTGTTTTTGTTAGAAATATTTAAGATAAGTTCTTTGATGTGAGATTTTATTATGCAACTTGGTAAGACTATATTGTAAGAAAGATTATATATCCTGAAAAGAGAAATTGTGTAATGTCATTGCCTGATGGGAACACGCTAGAAAAACTAAAGAGAAATTAATAGAAATTGCAAATATTGGCAAGATTAGAACAAGAAAAACTGGCTTTAAGATAAGATTTGAGAAAAATGTAAAAGTGTGATAAAAAAAAAAGTTGAATAGCAAGAAAGTGTTATGAATGTAAACAAATAAAAAAAAAAAAAAAAAAAAAATGAAGAATATTAAGAACATTGGCTAGTCATGGAAGCAAACAGAATGCCATCTTTTAACCATTTAGCATTCAACCAGTCCCATAAATATTGGCTCTCAATGTTTAACACATGTAACATGCCCCACGTGTACTCGGCCATATTATATAATGACATCATCGCAAACAACGCAGGAAGTGAGGCAAACAGTGAGACTTTGAATTTTTTTTTTTTTTTTTTTAATGAGGCCCAAGAACCAGTTGAAGTAAGGGTTACATAATAAGAGACACAGTTTATGCAGATATGTGTGGGGAAGATAAGTCAACTGTAGAATTAAACATGTTAAGATTGTTGTGATCAAAGAAGTATCCTCTTGGGAGTCATTTCTACAAGGCAGCAGTTTGTGGGAAGAAGCTGCTCAAGTGGAACTTAATCTCACCAAATGAATTTGAAGGGAATGAGATCTGTTATTTACAGGGATGATTTTAGAAATAGTTTTCATATTTCATTGACTAACTTACCCGATTCCTTAACAGCAACATTTATTGATGAAATGTCTTTATAGTCAAAAGAAGTTATCAACTTTGTTTTGGGATGTAATTTCAGATCGGGCGTTTCTTCCCTCTACACTGGTTTCTTGGTATTGTTATTCTCTTCTTTCTATCCACTTTGCCGTTTGTTCCACCTATCACAACCGTACGTATAGTATGATGCATCCTGACTGAAGACCTCTCATCTCCTCCACATTGGTCTATTTATACTGAGGAATCACCAATCTCTCACCTGGATAATAGACATATGGACACCTCTCCTCGATCTGTCTCACCACATTAATATTATACACAGTTGCTAATGAACCAATTTATTGTGAGACAAGAAGGTTCTCTTTTGATGGGACGGCATCCTCACCTTCTCTCAAATCAAAGTCCTACATGCCAGATGAAGACAAACTCTCTTTCGTCTAGAATAAGGCATGTCCTGTTCACCATTTCTGCCATTCGATTCTGATTCTGGTTCACTATGTCTGCCACAGTCTCGAATGCTGGGTTTGCTTGAAATTAAAAACAATTCAGTAAGCTCATTTCATAATAGTTCAAAAACTTTTTTGAAATGGATTCATAAAGACATTTATTTTTTTTTTATTTATTTTATTTTATTTTTATTTTTCTTCCTCAGCTGGAAATTTTTTCTCTTACACTCGTCATGAACCAGTTGGAGTGTGTGGACAGATTATTCCAGTAAGCTACATTTGAAGAAAAAGACTTCTTAATGTTATCTTTTTTGCATTGTTAAATGAAATTTTAATGTCTTTGATATTTATGTGAATTTTTTTCCTTCTGAAGCTATTTGGCTGACTATTACTAGTGACTTTCACCCTCACTGGTTGTCACATGTAAAATTCAGCATTAAATAATCTGACCAACTAACCTTGAATCAAGTGGCATGAGGTTGTAGAAAATCATTACGGGAAAATAATTTTATTAAATAATGATGCTATTAAAATATTTTGTCAAAATTGCTGGAGACTTGTTACATCAATGTAACAGTAAGTTAATGTATTATGTTATCATAAATAATTTCTTTTTTTTTTTTTTTTTTATCAACTTTATTTTTCAAAGTGTTACTATTGGCTCTCAAAAACAGAAATTATGATTTGAGATATAAGTAATGTTAATTCTAAAACTGCAAAGCTTATTTTCAACTTAAAAATTTATCAGATGCTAGAATTTAAATAACTTCCACTATTTACAGAAATGCATCAAACTATGAAATTTGTTCGATGCTTTTTATCTTAATAAAAGTGAGTAATTACAATTTTATTTTATTTCTTTACATAGTGGAATTTCCCTTTGCTAATGCAAGCCTGGAAACTTGGACCAGCTCTTTCAATGGGAAACACTGTTGTAATGAAGACTGCTGAACAGACACCCTTGACAGCTCTGTACATTGCACAATTGGCTGCTGAGGTAACTTTTTAAAATTGTTTCTTAATTCTCTTATTGTTAAATAATTAGTTTCTATTGTAATTTGTTAGTAAAATATGAAACTAGGTTCATATGCTCATTTGGAAAAATTGATTTTTAATTTCTGCTTTGCTAAATATGTTAAAACATATATCTACAAAAGTACTATGATTGTCTATACGAGTGAGTTTCAGGTCTCAACTTTAAAGAAAAAGTTCTTTTTAACCCAGTAAAAATTTTATATTTACATAAGTCTAACTTGGCAAGGAATTAGCATTTTGGTCATAAAGAAATATTGTTGCATTGCTTGAATCTGTTACATGTATAAGTAATTCCGTAGTTATCCCTCCCACTTCCACTTTAAAGGTCTCTCCTACTTGGAAAAACCCTGCTTCCTGTAATGGTGACGGAATGATAAATGTCTGTTATTTCCCAGTCTGTTATCTTCTATCATTATAAAATAAGTATAACAAAACATGGTGTCAGCTGGTTGCTGAAACGCACCTCTACCCTCTTAAAGAAATTACAAGTTGTCAACTCTACTATAAGTTATTTTCATAACCTGTTTTGCTTGGTCCCTCCCTCTCTCTCTTTCATCTCTATTGATATAGAAGATACAGTCTTCCTGTAGCCCATGAAATCCACTACACTCCTTCAGTTAATTTTTGTTGGACCATTCTTTCCTATCCACTAACTCTGTCAATGACTGTTTACTTCTCTAAGAACAACTCCATTTTTGTATAGTCATATCCATTGTTCCAGTGTAGTACTATCTCATTATCACAGTGTCTAGGAAAGAAGGTGTCATCGTTGATATTCCAGTTGGTGTGTCTGATTTGTATGTCGGAGCACCAGAATGGTTGGTATTTGGTACAAATAAAGTTGGTGTGTGGAAGCTTTTTCATAAATGGACAAACTATACTCTCGGCTATCTGAGCTGACTCATAAACTGAGCCATGATGGAAAACTGTCTGGGTGATGATGCCATGAAAATTTATCAAGTCCTTCAGTTCACACCACCTAATTCTGAGCACACCTTTCAAGAAATACTGGATGCCCTTGAGGAATCTGCTGTAGGAATTGAAAATCAAACTTACAAGTGTTATTGTTTTGACAGAGAAAGCAGTAACACTTCATAATACCTATTCTGGATGACATGCTCCATGATATGAGAGATGCCAAGATATTTACAATCTTCTATCTTTATAAAATACATATAACAAAACACCTGCCAATTTAAGAAAACAGTTTGATGCATGAATCTTTTTAATTGTCTGTGAGACTTTTCTGCCCTGTTAAGTGTTTCATTTGATACCAGGCTGGCTATCCCCCAGGAGTATTAAACATTGTGAATGGTTATGGCCCTACTGCTGGCGCTGCTCTGGCTCAACATATGGATGTTGATAAATTGGCCTTCACTGGATCCACAGAGGTATTTATTTTCATTTTAGATTGGTTTTATTTTTAATTTCCAAAAATATTACTACAATATGAAACCTATATAAAAAAAATTAGGAGGCTTTTAAAAAAAAAAAATTGTTTTTTATTTATTTTTATTTTTATTTATTTTTATTTATTTTTTTTTTTTTTTTAAATTCTTGTAAGTTTACAAATATTGTTGTCTACCAGCCCCAATCCAATAAATTTCTCCTTGTTATGCAAAATGGGCAACATTTTGTTCATGTAATCATCCCAATTCAAAATTACCACCACCAGACATTTTATCTGGTTTTAGATATATGTGCTGATGATTTGTATTGTAGTTGTATTTCTCCCCAACCTATTTTGGAAACTTTCTGTTGAACTCATTAAATTGCTACCATGTCTGTGGAGTTTAGCTTCAATGTTATAATGTATAGGAAAATTGATGGGAATGTTATGGGTAGTCTTTTGCTGTCTGCTATGGCAAATATTTTCACGGAGGTTCTATGAACGAAAAATTATTTTCTATGGCCTGCCAACTGAACAGGTATTTACAATATGTAGATGATACATCCTGAGTGTTTAATGAGGAGTTTGATGTAGAATCTTTTCATAGAATATTGAACAATTTGCATCCTTTTATGCACTTTACTACTGAACAGGAGAACAACTGTTCCTTATCTTTTTAGGATGTCTCTGTACAATGACATAACTCCAATCTTATTACTTCAGTGTACTGTAATCCCACATTTTCAGGTTTATATAATTGATGGGATGCCTTCTGTCCCAGAAAGTATAAGATCATCTTGATCAAAATCTTAGTCCATTGCGCTCTTATAATCTGTTCTAACAAGAATTAAAACTTGTTTGATATTTTGCGATCTTGGCGACCTTCTGGACATTGTGCAATCAAGCATGAGTGCAAAGATAGATTGCACAGTTTTGTAAGTCCAAGCATTTTAGCACCCCAAATATCTTTGTCTGACATGAAATGTCCTTGGTGTTTCACACTACCCTGGCTTGTTGAGACTGGTGTGACTTTTTCTAAGCAAATCTTGTCTAGTATTCTGCTATATTTATTTTTCTACTGATTCACAAGTGATGTTCTAGTCTTGGCCAATGTTAGAATCTGTAAGGATAGACTGCCTATCTTCAAGACTAGTTCAGTCATTAATTCTTTTAAATACCAGTGCTATGCTGGATATATAAACAGGACAACTCCACCCTTGGAGAGGGGAATTTCACAATGTATTCCAGCATTTATCAGAAGAGACCAGCTGATGGATAATTTGCATAAGTCACTTGCTTCTGGGTCTGATACCATGGTGCACTTAATAAATAATTGTCAGTGTGCCAGAGTGTATTGGGAGAATATGTTCACCATGTTGAGCAGATTGCACTCCAAATTTCGGCTTAGTGTTGAAAACAATTTTTATTAAGTCTGGGCAACCTTTTCTGTCTGAACTGAAGGAATGGTTGCTTGGGCTTGATGTGATCTGCATCTAACATATTGTCATTAATATATTACAAATGTTTGTATTTTTTGTTCTTTTAATCCATACATATTTCTTTTTATCCCTGATTGGGTTTTTGACAAGAGAAGAGCCAAACCAGTGAACTAAAAAAAAAAAAAAAAAAAAAAAAAAGAGATGCCAATGAGCTTTGCAGATTTTTCTTTGGATTTTATCAAATATCTCTAAATACAGGGTGTGATGGATAAATTGTCATCTAAATTATTAAAAAATTAAAGTAACACAGATCTCATTTTAATAGATGAATTTGCCAAAATTACAAAAATATCTTGAAATACTAAATTGAAAAAAAAATTTATTAAATAAATTCACCATTGGCTTCAACCATGGCCTCTAGATGGCTTCAAAATATCCAGCAACTCTTCTGGCCAGTCTCCTTGTTTAAGTTGATGAATGTTGCCATAATACTTGCCTTCTGTTCATCTTTGGTGTTACAAAGAGATATATTCTCCCCCCCATAATAATCAAGGGGGTTGCAGTCTGGAGATTTAGGTGGCCAGATGTAAGGGGTGATGTGATTGCAGTCCTGTTGCCAGACAGTCTTCCAGCAGACATCCTCTTGACCCAGGGCTGCACTACTTCCTGAAGGCACTTGATGTAGGCATCCGTGTTGAGTCTGAGGCCCTGTGGGAAGATGAATGGAAGTATAACATTGACGTTACTGATCACTCCAAACACCATGATGTTGACTGCATATTTGGTTTTCATCACTCTGTATATTTTGGGGGGACACAGATTGACACCCAAACACTCTGAAATGTTTTTCTGGCAGTAAATTGCATCCTGGTGGTCTTTTTCTCATAGACAGTGCCCGACTGATTCTGACTTATCCTACTATACTGTGCAGTCAACAAAATCAAAAAACAACGCACATGCACAAAATTAAAAATATGGAATAACGACAATTTACCCATCGCACCCTATATATATATATATATATATATATATATATATATATATATATATATATATATATATATAATATATATATATATAGGAGCACCAGACCATATATGTCAGCAATATTCAAAGCAAGGACAAATGGTAGACTTATAAATATGTAAGGTAGATTTGGGCAAGAAAAGTTGTCTATCATGACACAGTGAATCAACTTTCCTAGCAGCAATTGATTCGGTATAATCCTTCCACTTCAGAATGTTGGTGAAACAGAATTTTTTGTCTTTTTAGTTATCCTGATTTTTCTTTTTCCTTCTTGCCACATCTAAAGATGACCTTTCTATCTACTCATCTTTTCTTTTTAGATTGGCCAGTTGGTAGCTAAGATGGCAAGTGAAAGTAATTTGAAGAGACTGACCTTAGAATTGGGTGGCAAAAGTCCAAACATTGTGTTTGGTGATGCTGACTGTAAGTTGTATTCATTTTATTTATTTAATCATTGTAAAGAATTTTTTCCAATTTCTTTTCAGGTATATTCCCATGATTTAATTCAGTCAGTTATGTGCCATGCATGATTCACACTTAGGTGATCATGTATCTTTCAATACATGACTGACGAGGCAGATTTTTTCCCAGAGTAGGTTGCCATTTCTTTCCGCAGTAGACCAGTTGCCATCCAAGTCTATAGAACCCGGTCTGTTCTGCGATTTACCCATAGCTGTGGGGAGGAGAAGAGGATTCATGCCTTTTCATAAGTGAAAGTAATAGATTCTACTTTAATTCGAACTCAGCTATGGAATACTTCTGCGAGTGATACAAAAATGTTTTATATTTGAATTTTAAAATTGCTTAAATAGTTAAGTTTAGCAGTTTGTGTTTGATAAATCTGAGCTAATAATTTATACTATTTACACTCTGGCTATTATCCTCTTTTTTAATCAGTATCCCCCCCCCATGCAAGACAGTAAAATGACTAAAACACAAGGGATTATGGGGTGTGAAAGAATTAGGAACAGAAGTATTAATAATGAGCGGGAAGAGAAAAGAGCAATCAGGAGGACAGATAGCAACTGATATTGCATTTAAATTTTTAAAGATTTAAAATTGGCTGGAAAGAATGGAACCAGTTAGGGGGTTCCGTAAACAAGTTCAAGAAAAGAAACAAACATAGAATTTATGTTTACATCTAGCTAGTTAGTCTGTAAATTGATGAGACCACAATGCCAATCTAGTACTATGTTTAAATTAATAAAAGTTTAGGTACCATAATGAAGAGCTCATTTGAACAATTACCATGAAAGTATTTATAGAAAAGACAATCTTACGGTGATGGAAAAGTGACTGAAGCAGAGCTGCCAGATCAGGACCAATAATATTGCTAATTCTTCTCTGATCTTATCACAGAGCTCAAGCAGGGACACTGGACTATATGTGGCAGCAATATTCTAAGCAAGGGTGAATGGTAGACATAGATATGTATGATAGGTTCTGGAGAGAAGAATCATCTTGCATGACATGGTGAACTGACTTTCATACCAGCTGACCTAGCAATGGATTCAATATAGTTTTTCCACATAATGTCAGCTGAGAACATTTCAGAAACTGTACCCTTTGACCTTCATCAGGTGTATATTGATCTGGGTGATCTACAGGGAATTCTGAATAGTTATAAAATTCCCTGTAGGTTGCCTGGATCAATATACTCCTGATGAAAGCCAAAATGTCATAACAAAAACAATAGTCTGAATACAACTGGTGTAAATAATTCCTTATCCCAGCCAGAAATTCAAACAGAAACTTTGAAAATAAGAATTAAGAGCTTATATTCTATGTAAATCACTTTAAAAGAAAAATTTTAAAACATTGAAAGTTTTTGTTATGAAGGATATGTGGAAGGTTGAGGTGGGGGGGGATTTATCCTTGTAAAAATATTCAACTTGTCCTCAAAAAAAAAAAAAAAAAAAAAAAAGGAAAAGAAAACAGATAAAGTGTATATTCAAAATTTTTCATTTTACCTCCTGTTGGTCAGGTCAGGCTTGCTACTGGTGACATACAACCTGCCACATATCCAGGTAGTTGGCGTCTAAACCATCTCCCCCACTAACTTTTCTGCTGGTGAGGTGAGTGGTATGTCACCCCCCAGGAGGAAAAACATGACCTGTCAAAGGGCGGCTAAATTTCAAATGGTGTGTGTAATATATATATATAGAATTAATATAAGTAAAAGTTTGTCACTTAGCTAATTGATGTTAACCTTATATATAGGTTATCAGAAACTTTATATCTGTTTCAAATTTTGTAACAAGCTTATGGCTTTTGGTGGTGATGATTCTCATTAAACTATATATGTCTAGGATGGGGTCTCAAACCTTGAATAGCAACCTTCCTAGAGATGGTATCTTGATAAGATCACTAGGTGTACTTGGACTACCATGAGTGTTTGAGTTAGGCGCCAGGAAGAGCATGCAACGTTTTATATGTTTAAATGCTGTATAATTTTTTATCCATCCATCTATCCCCATCCATCCATCCCCATCCATCCATCCCCATCCATCCATCCCCATCCATCCATCCATCCATCCATCCATCTCCATCCATCCATCCCCATCCATCCATCCCCATCCATCATCCATCCCCATCCATCCATCCCCATCCATCCATCCCCCATCCATCCATCCATCCATCCCCATCCATCCATCCCCCCATCCCCATCCCCATCCCCCATCCCCATCCCCATCATCCATCCCCATCCATCCATCCATCCCCCATCCCCATCCATCCATCCATCCATCCATCCCCATCCATCCATCCATCATCCATCCATCCATCCATCCCCCATCCATCCCCATCCCATCCCCATATCATCCCCATCCATCCCCATCCATCCCCCCATCCATCCATCATCCATCCATCCATCCCCATCCATCATCCATCCATCCATCCTCCATCCATCCATCCCCATCCATCCATCCCCATCCATCTATCCCCATCCATCTATCCCCATCTATCTATCCATCTATCCCATCCATCTATCCCCATCTATCCCTATCCATCTATCTCCATCTATCTATCTATCTATCCCTATCCATCCATCCATCTATCATCCATCTATCCATCCATCCATCTATCTCTCATCTATCTATCTCTCCCATCATCTATCTCTCTATCTCTATCTATCTCTATCTATCTATCTATCTCTCTATCTCTATCTATCTCTCTATCTCTATCTATCTCTCTATCTCTATCTATCTCTCTATCTCTATCTATCTCTATCTATCTATCTCTATCTCATATATATATATATATATAAATAACTTAATTAAATTTTATTTTAGTTGGTATCCACTCAGCAGTGATATCATCTTAATAATTTTCATTAAAAAGAGGTTTTTATTTTTTATGAAACTGATTAATTAACAAAATACAGGAATCACTTGATTAGTGCAGCTAATGTGTACATTGGTAACTATAAAAAAAAAAAAAATTTTCAATTACTAGTTAAACTGAGGAATGTTTTACTGCACTAATCAAGTACTGTGTACGCACTAATTGAATTTTGGTGTATAAAAATTTTAGCAAACTGAATGAAAACCATTAATCGAACGTGCATTAATCAATGATACCTGTATGCTCTAATAATGTGTCTACTATAATTTGAATCTGATTAATTTGTTGATTTCACCAAATGTTAATTTATATGGATTTTTAATTTTTTTCTTAAATTGTTGTTAATGTACTTCTCTTTAATAACCAAACAAAAATTAACTTAATCCTTTCCCTCTGCTAATTTATCAACAGTAAGTGTTAATGTTTATGAAACTATGATGCAGAATTGAAAAACACCTTTTTTTTTTTTTTTTTTTTTTTTTTTTTTCAAATTTTATAAATTGTCTTACATGAAAAAGAAATTAAATAATATATTCTTGATTGTTTTTATGGATCTAATGAACTAATATGGCTGAACTTACTTGCCATTCTTAATTGCATGTAGCATCTTAAAGGCAACATGTCTAAGAGAAGGAAAACTCAATTCCAAACTATGGAGAAGTCAACAGGGAAACCACTCCACTATCCTTTCAAGAATACATGCTAATTCATAGATAGTAAAGAAAAGAAATCTAAAGAGCCATGATTGCCTACATCTTAAAAGGCTCATGATATTAAAAAAGATAAAAACATATCTGTAAAATTTATCTAAAGTAGTAAATATAGAAAATTTCAATTCCCTCATCCTTCACTCTTACATTTAAGAGGATATAAATTCAACACTTGTAATTTTGAATTTCACAGACTGGTGTTACAGAATCAGAAAGATCTGTACCAAATAACAGAAACCACATGAGAACTTTCAACAGCAGTGACAACTAAAATGGATAGTACATGTAACTTGATGAAAAGATAATGACCTAATGAAGATGCTGACTTTCCACACTATCCCCCCACACACACACACCTAAAAGAAAAGTCAAGGGAGAAAGCCTCCCCCACCCAATCAATGCCCGAAAAAGTATTAAGAGCTACTGGACTCGAGAAGCCTGTTTTTCTGAAAAATTGTTTTAAAAGATAGTTTAAAAATTTCAACCAACTAACTGCTCAATCAATAAATGCTGTATGTTTCTTTGTAAGGAAACAATTAATATTATTATTATTACTGTGATCCTTCTAGGTTATTTGAATTAATAATCTCATTTTTTTTCCTGTATTTCCACCGATTCATTCTGCAGTCCCTTTAGAGAAAAGTCTTGTCCATTTATGATTTGATTTCTATGCAAACTTTCACAATTTGTACAAAATGAATTTTATTTTCTTTCTTTCCACTTGTAGTGGATCATGCAGTTGAAACTAGCCATTATGGCTTGTTTTTCAACCACGGCCAATGCTGCTGTGCTGGCTCTAGAGTCTTTGTTGAAGAAAATATATATGATGAATTTGTTGAGCGTAGTGTTGAGAGAGCACAGAGAAGAATAGTCGGCGATCCTTTTGATGCTGTCAGTGAACAAGGCCCACAGGTATATACATTGTGTAATAGATAGTTGTTGTTGTTCTTTTTTTTTATGCTAGAATGGTTTTGCAACACATTAATGCATGTTGAAATCCTCACAGTATTTAGCATTGTTGAAGTTATTACTAACATTTTTTTTTTTTTTTTTTTTGTCGAGATTTACAAACTTTAAATTTTGTTCGATTTTGCAAACCAGTCAATGAAATTTGAATAAGCTGATTTGTTTGGGAAAATACTTTGACAAAACCCCTACTTTGTAGTTTAATTTCTAAATTTAATTTTATAGGACTTCATGGTAAGCAATTTCTTTTAACAACCTTTCTTTTTTTTTTCCTTTTTAACAGTGAAGAATAAATTTTTAGGATTTCTTACTCTTGAGCATGCAACATACAACTGGCAATGCGTAAATATTTATTTCTGGAGCCAAATTCCAACTTTTTGAAGCATTTGACCTTGTGATTTGTTTATAGTTCTTGCAAACGCAGAGCAAACTGGAAACTGGATTCTTGTTTTTAAAAAAAAAAAAAAAAAATTATTACTGTACTTTGTAAACACTTATGTTTGCAATTCTTGCCAAAATTTGATTTCAATCAGTCAGTGTATTGCTAATTTAGAGGGTATGATGGATGGACTGGCAGAAGTTAAAGAATTTTTATATATATATATATATATATATATATATGAGAGAGACTAATGTTTACCTTATACAAGGCTCAGAAGCCATGTAAGATATAGGGTTACTGAAGGAGGTTGTTGTGTGGGCAGTAAGAGGCACAGTTTATGACGGGGGTTGACAACTCCTTCAACCCCGCGGACCGGATCGTATTGTAATGATGGGTTGTGGGCCGGACGGAGGCCATTACTGAAAAATTAAGGAAATTATATATGCAGACCCCTTTCAACCTAAATATTTAAAACCATAATGAAAATAAACATTGAGAAATCAGAAAAACAAAAGAAAATCTAAAATTAAAAAACGCCTAACAAAAATTATTTTTCCTCAAGGAACATCAAAATACTTCAAAGTGAAAAAAATCAACCGACGTGAAATGGATGAAATTATGACATGTAGGTTTGAAACTGTTATTGAAAATTGTTCCACACACACACACACACACCAAACAAAAACGAAGAATATACCCATACATACGAGTACAAATAGTTGCAAACATACACTTATGTACGTACACATGCAGTATCATCCACACATTCATGAGGCATGTATGTATAATGTGCGTATGTTTAACTGTCTTTAGATTTCTGCTACCTCGCATGTCAGTCCCTACCTGTCCTCTTTCACTTTATTGTTCCTTTCGCTTTTGTTATCTTTTAATGTAGCCAAGGGTCATAACAAATATTTATCCATTATTTGACATTAAACGTAGGCAACGCAACTTGGTAAAATAAGTCTCATGAAAGATAACTGACAGTCTAATATTTTTAGTGCACTGAGATGTGTAGACATTCTATGGAAAATGACATATAACAAATTTCATTTGAAGGTCGACGATATAGTTAAATTGAGAAGTGTTGACAGATCTGCATATTCACATTTAATCACAAGTGTTGAATATACATAAAAATAATTTATATTAACAACAGATGAATGTAATAGTCAAAAAATATTCAATTGAAAACATTGTTGGAATCATTTGTTTATAAATACATAGCATCGGCGTTAAGCTATCACCAACAGCCAAAGAATTAATGGCAAACTTGATGATTTTTATTGAGAGTCTCAATATTTGGTTTCAAACTTGTTGATGCTAAGAGCAAGATATCATCAAGATGGTTATCAGTCAATCTTGTTCTCAAATTGTTCTTAGTTTGCTTCAATTTTGAAAAAGGTTGTTCACATTGATAGGTACTTCCAAACAAAGATGCCATCTTTTTTGCGTGGGTCACTAATTTGAAATACTTTCCACTTGGAAAAATATATTTTGTGTGAAAAACAATTAATGAAATACCTTTGGAACTAAATTTTGATCTTAATAGATTGTCATACTGCATTTCTATCAATTCCATTTGAAAACATTCTGATACTGTCTCCACCTCCACATCAAATGGTGTAGCAAACAATTTGAAATCATTTTTATGCAGACGAAAGTCAGCAAAATGTGATACAAGTTCATTTCGCAAATCCTGGATAACATTCACAAATAGCTCCAAATCCTGTGGTTTCCTTGATTGGAATGATGGGAAATGAGCATAATTTTTATTTCTAAGTTGATGTTCCCACAACACAAGTTTTTTTTTTTTTTTTTTTTTTCAAAGGCAACAATATGATTATACATCTCATTTATGAGCTGAGTAAATTTAAATGATTCAAATGAGTCACGATATCCACAATGAATGCTAAAGTTGCGAGTCAATCAGGATCTCGAAAATGTGAACTATCCATATGTTTACTTTTGAGAAATATCGCCACCTCTTATGTAAGGCAAGTACTCGTTTTAACATCGATCCTCGGTTAAGCCAGCATACATCACAGAAATACACAAGGTCACCATATTCTGCCTGAGTATCAAACAAAAATTGTTTGAATTGTTGATGATTCAATCCACAAGATAGAATCAGATTCAGTTTTCACAACAATATCCATAACTTTTTTAAACTTCAAGGACTTTGCACACAATGTCTCTTGATGGATAATGCAATAAGTTTGAGTAATTCCAAGGCTTTCCATATGTTCCTGTAGTAGTGTAACAAAGCCCTTTTTTTTCCCCTACCATTGCTGGAGCATCATCAGTTGTGATTCCAATAAGCTTTGAGAAATCAAATTTCATTTCTGTCATCTATTTTGAATAGATATATTTCTTTAATGGCAGACCTTTCATTATATTTGAAAGTCTTGTAGCAGATATTTAAGTAATTATGTAAATCTATCAAAATGTGAGGACAGAGAAATACAATAAATAATCATACAAAAACAAAGCATGGAATAATAAAAATGAGGTTTTAGCATCAATCGAATAAACAGGATTTTTAATTCAATACAATAAGTTTCTGCAATATTTGAGTTTATAATAAATATAGATAGTTATGAATAAATAATAAATAAGCAAGCAAAATGAAAACATGAGTGAATAAGCTGAATTGATTTTTTTTAAATAAATAAATTATAAATTTCGTCAATGTTTCCAGATAATAAATATAGATATTCGTTCATAAATAATAATATATGCAAACAAAATCAAAACAAGATACAACTTGAATTGAATTAATAATTTGCTTTAATGTTTGATCATATGCAGTCAAACTCGCGAGTCAGAATTCCGTGATTGAAATTTCCGTGTGTACCTCTTCAAGATAAAATGTACTTTTCAGTGTATAAAATATGTTGAAAGAAAATGTTTTAAAAAATGGGCTTTAAATCTAAACAAACATTAAAATACGAAATACTATAAATGTATCTGGGGGTAAGTGTTAATTAAGTAAATTTACAAGTTGAATATTTTTACGAACCTTGAATTACTTTCCAATCTATCACCAACTGCTTGTACTCTTGTTATTAAATTGTTTATTTTTTGAAACTACGTTGTCTTTTCTACTGAATTTTATTCCTTCAATGAAAATCATGTGATTATTCTAAACTGCCAAATTATGAGCAACCCTGTAATGATATTTTGTTATTGTATGGAATCCCGACACTCCAAATTTTAACATTAAATGAAAAATACAAGTAGAAGGGTTCCTACAGACCCATATGTATCATAATAGCGACTTTTGTTTTTCGTTCAGTAACAATGAAATAAGGAAATCAAATCTGTAATCACTAAAAAATTTTTTTTTTTTTTGTTTATATCCGGGAATCAAAAATTGCAATATATTTTATATTTTCTGGGTTTACTTTCAATTTTCAAACAAATTACTAAAACAAAACAAAATCCTGAATTTATTTCTTTTTGAATAAGTAAATACGAAAAGCACTGATTACATTCATTTGAATTTTATTTTGGTATTTAAAACATTTCTAATTTTCAGTTTATTTGCAGAGTAATTAAGCTTTAAAAAGCATGACATATGGCCCGTGTCGAGCCAGGCCGCATGCAAAAAAAAAATTGGTGAAAGACTCTTGAGAAGAAGGGTATGATAAGATAAGAACATGGTCCATTGAAAGATTCCAGCAACTTACATAGGGTAGGTGGCAGGGGTAAGCGATGGGGGGGGGGGGCGCTGTTGGCGGAATGAAATAGAAAGCCGATTGAGACAACATTGTCCCTTTGAAGCTGTCGCCGGTTGGTCGGTCTGTCAAATCAGCTCTCCGTTTTGTTTATTTTTTATTTTTTACACTGAAATGGAGGTGATTGGGTTTTGATCGTGTTTTTGCGGTTATAGTATTCAAATTCAGTTGGGTGGATCAGAGGAAGATAACAGCAGGCCTTTTATCGAATTCGAAAGCCTCATCTCATGTTAAAAATAGTCATTGGTAATCAGGCTCGCGGGCCGGATCTGGCCCACGGGCAGTAGGTTGCTGACTCTTGCTTTATGAGGACATGGGGGTAAGATAACTGTTAACCCTAGACTTGTACAGATTAAGATTGTATCAGTTTGACAAGCATCCTCTTAGGAGTTGGTTCCATAAAGTAGTGGTCCATTGGAAGATGACGTTCTAGTGGAACTTACTTCTTACTAATGGAATATGAATGAATGAAACTGGTTTGCCGGATCTTGGCTGTGAGGGTTAAAATTGTTGGAAATAAGGAATGTAGTTCATCAAAAGATAGTTGTATAATGCTTATCTGTATGGCCATATAATGTTGAAACCCCAGTTCCATGTGATCATTGAAGTTAAGCAATGTCAAGATTGGGCAGTATCAAGATGGGTGACTGCTTGAGAATGCCAGGTGCTGTAAGTTTGGATGTGCAGGAGGTGTAATGGATAATGGCTTGGAATTGTTAATCGGAGAGCTAAGTTCCAATTCCAGTTGTATTTGCACTTACATGCTACCCTTGGAAAAGTATGAATCCATCTCATCTCCCCCCAGCTATGAGTTAATTAGTAAGACTTATCACTAAATTATCTCAAAAAAAATTCTTATCTAAAAATATTTTATGGTTTTAAATAACCTGCAATGGGTTGACAATGTGTAGAAAATAATCAATGCTTATCTATAATTTTTACTCTTTCTGCTTAGCTTGAATATACTGTTTACTAAAATCATCTCAAAATGATTAGTGCCACAATTTCAAACATTTTTTCTTTTAGAGAGGCCAGTAATAATGAATTTAAATTCCTCGAGGAAGACAAAAGGGAATGGATTATCCATTCCATTTCAAAGATTAAGTTATTTAGCATCTAGTTTAAAAGTGACAAAGATTTGACTTAAACATGGGAACTGTGCTTGTCTCTATGTTTCTAGAATTTTTTAAAAATAAAGATTTTTTTTTTTTTTTATATATATATAAATTAATTAATTCATAATTTATTCTGTTAACTTGGAGCGTTACCTGCCTACTTTTCAGGGAAAATGAGCACACCTGGGAACGTTGGTTGAGAAGTGCTGGTCTTGAAGATCATCTCTGCATTAAGTTTCTGTAAATTTGTAAATCACTAGTGCAAAATTTGCATCTCCTGCTTATTTTGTAAATTTTGTTTGCACAATTTAGCTTTTTTTTTTTTTTTTTTTTTTTTTTTTTTTTTTTCATGAGAGAAGGGTTTGACAGTATATTACATCTCATCTAAATGTGGAAATGTATCTTAGATGGAAACCAGGACTTCATTTTAGAGTTAAGCCCCACTAGTATAAGCAAGTCATAGCCAAGGGGTAAGTAAAAAGATCTCATATGGCAGTCCACATCAGGAGAGATAAGTGACACATACTAGCCTTTCCACAACTAAATCCAGATAACTGATAGTGAACACTGTTGAGAAACAAAAAAGCTGAAAGTCTATTGGCTTGTCAGTGGTGGCCACAAATCAGGCTACTATAAATTTTATCACTGTCTGGCTAGCTTTTTTTTTTTTTTTTTTTTTTTTTTCTTTCCTTTCCTTTCTTTAAATGTTTTTTTTTTTTTTTTTTTTTTGTGTGTGATACATGTGTTGATTTTCATACTCTGTTCATTTAAAGGCATTCCTCTTTGTCATTAATAACTGAAGTATAAATTTTATTTTTAAATTTTATCTTATTAGGTTGACAAGCAGCAGCTCACCAAAATCATTTCACTTATTGAAAGTGGTAAGTCAGAAGGAGCCAATTTGTGCACAGGTGGCACTAGAATGGGAGACAAAGGCTACTATGTGACACCCACAGTGTTTGCAGATGTGAAAGATGATATGAAGATTGCAAAAGAGGAAGTAAGTAACTTTTACAATTGCTTACAAAGAATTTTGGTCGTGACTTAGTATATAAGAATATTTACATATTTAACTTTGATTTCTGTCAACACTTTATCTTAAATAAGTACACTAATTTTGTGGTTGGTTAAAAATGATTGTTCTATTTTTGTTATTGGATGGCATTAGGAGCATTTAGCTTTTAAATCCTTTAAAAAAAAAATAAAAGTACAAAAAAGGAAATTGTGTCTAGGGTTTAAAGAAATCTCTATGGATAGTGTCCTGATATGTTACTACAATTAATGTTAAGTTTACAGGATTTTGAATTAATAAATTTCTTATAATTATATCTGCTCTAACAATGGTTTATTTGCTTGACAAAGTACTGGCCTGTCATTAAATCTAGCCCATCCGATTGATAGAAATGTGGTTAGTCACTACTATTAGTGAATTTTTATAGTGATGTTAACAGTAAAGCTTGGGCCAGAATAAAGATGAACACTTTTCTTAATATCGAAATTAAAACCTTCAACTCATGCAAGACTTCTAAGGCAGTAAAGAGTTGTCTCTGGCCAAACCTGAGGAAATTACATCTACTTTAGGGAGTCAAGGAGTCAACAATTACCATAGAATCTCAATTAAAAGAAAAGAAGCAATTATAACGGACACGTATCCTTACTTTTGGCACACCTGACCCCCCCCCCAAATAAAAAATACGGTATTGAGCCAGTGGAACAATATATCCCTGCTCCATTAAGATGCTTTAGGTGCTAAAAATTTAGACATCATCAGAGATAGCTGCAGGAATTGCCCAACATGTGGAAAATGTGGCCAAAGGAATTCAGACCATACTAAAGACAAATGCCATGATGAAATGTGCTAACTGCCAGGAAAGCCATCCAGTATACTCAAGAACATGTGATTTCTGGAAAAAGGAAAGGGAAATTGTCATGGTAAAATATAAAAGAAACCATCTTATTTTTAGAAACAAGGCAAGTAGTAGGTTTTGAATGGCACACAAAAAATAACTGAAAATAAGACAAATAATGTTGACAAATACAGAGCCTTCATTAGTTCATCACTTGGGACCAAATGATTGGCCCAAATTTCAAACTTACCTAAAAAGTTCCTAATCCAAGGAAATGGTGTGTTTTGGGCATGATGATAGACTACATCCAGCAGCAAGGCCTCTGATCAGGAGGTTTTGAGGAGTGTGAAACCCCCTCTTAATTGCTGGCATTCTTAGGTCAGTGTGGACCTGGGAACACCAGCAATGAAAGTGTAAAAATGGGTTTTAATACCAGCAATACATCAACCATATTCCTATACAAAACCAGTTTGATGAACTAGAAAAGATGGAGGTGGAATGCCAGAACCCTCAAATGGCTAAAACCTACAAAATGAAAGTCTTGGAAAAAGAAATCAAAACCACATAAGCTAAAGGCCGAAAACGTTTAAAGAGCGATGCAAAAGATAATTTAATGGAACAGCCATGGAATAAAGGCAAATAAAAATGAACTGCTTCTGTCAATAACACACCTGTCACCAGCATTTGTTTGCCTTCAGGAAACATTCAAGATGATAGTGAATATAAAAGAGTAGCAACAATACAACCATGACACTGGGCTTTGTACATCTTGTAGTACATCTATCCTAGTAAAGAATGATGTATCCCAATTAAAATAAATTTGGCAACTACTATACAGATACTACTGTTAAAGTGACCCTACATAAGGCCAATAAACATTTTCTCAGTATATATCCCACCTAATGAATGATTAAATGAAGCTGAAATTCATGAAATTATAATATATAGTATATTATATCCTTTATGATAATGGGGGACTTTAACTGTCACAGCACCATTTGAAGCTGTAAAGACAAAAGAGAATTAAAGAAAGCAAAAAAGAATGTTGGAAAAACTATGTCAGTAGACTTGTTTCTACCACAAACAAAATCTGTATGGGATGTGATAAGGAAAATAGCTAATAAACATCATTCTAAAGCTATAAAACATCTCTTGATTAAATAACTGTAAAATAGCCTGCAAAAAAGATATCGCTGAACAATTAGTCAAAACAATCTCCAAAAACTCATTTGCTAAAAATGATAGCCAACAATTTCTGAAGCTCAAATAAAAAGCAGGAAAACAAAAATTAAACTTTAAATGAAATAATGCTGAAAGTTATAACCTATATATTTAGAGGAACTAAACGAATCTTTAAAGAAAGCTCACAGATGATAAAAAAAAAAAATTCATAAAACAGCTGCCCAACGAATCATTACAACTGTTTGTATAACATATGGATAAGTGGCAACTTTCCAGTTATATGGAAAAAGTCATTCATTATCCCTATTCCAAAACCTGGAAAGGATGGCTCAAACCCTGAAAGCTATGGACCGATAACACTAACAAGCTACCTATGTAAAACTATGGAGAGAATGGTCAACAATAGGTTGACTTGGTACCTGGAAACTAACAGCCTAATCAGTGACTACCAATGTGCTTTTAGGAAAAAAAGTACCATAGATCACTTAGTATGCCTTGAAACCTTTTGTAAGAGAAGCCTTCATTAAGAAAGAACATCTCACAGCAGTCTTTCAGAATTTCCTGAAAGTCCATATAGGAAGTATGCTATCAGAACTAAAGATCAAGAAAGGGTTCCACAAGGAAGTGACCCTTTTTTTTCATAAGAATTAACTCCATAGTTAAAACCCTAAGCCCAGGGGGGGGGAGATGCTCTCTATATGTTGATGATTTTCTAATTATGTACAGATCTTGACATATGAATACCATTGAAAGACAACTCCAACAATATCTCTATAAAATAAATACACAAATGGGCCACTGAAAATGGGTTTGTTTTCCAAAATGAAAACCAAATGCCTACATTTCTGCAAATTAAGAAAATTACACAATGATCCATGTTTAAAATTACAACACGAGTTCCTAGTCATTAACTTTGATTTTAAAAAAAAAAAAAACACATTCATTCCCTATCTGAAATATTTGAAAATGAAATGTAGCAAAGCCTTACAACTCTTGCATGTAGCAGACCATACTGAATGGGGGACAGATCAACTAATATTAATCAAGTTTTACAGATCACTACTTCCCTCAAAATTGGATTATGCTAGTTTCATATATGGGGTGGGCAGAAAGTTGTATCATCAAGGCTTCAAATTAGTACTTGTGGCATTTAGAACATCCCCAGTCGAGAGCTTATACACAGAAGCTAATGAAACACCTCAACATTTATGGCACACTAAACTGGCACTACAGTACTGTGTAAAAATAAAGACTTGTTCTACTAACCCAGCTTACAGCAGTACCTTTGAACTGAATTACTGTGATCTATTCCAACAAAAAGATAATGTTATGCAACCTTACAGACTCGGAATGAAATCCATTGCTGAAGAGATACACTGCACACTCAATTATGCAAGAAATGACTGCAGCTGGTATTACACCATGAACTATCAAGCAACCTGAATTCTACCAAGATTACATAATCTCCCAAAACAAAAAACACAACCACTCGCATTCCAGAATAAGTTTCAGGACATTTTGGCAAACTTACTTAACCATACAGCCATCTATACAGATGGGTCAAATGTGCCAAAATATTACTCAAAAAAGGCGCCTCTGAAAGGGAAGCTGTATTTTCACTGCAATCAATCTTAGCTCTCAGCATTATCTCAGAGAGCAAACAAAAAATTTTCTAACTTTTTGCATGCACTATCCACCCTATTGGCTTTGAAGGAAAAATCCAACAACCTACTTATGAAAATATTATGCAAAATGAGCTTTATTATTAACAAGCATAACGACATCAAACTATGTTGGATTTCTAATCATTTTAGAGTTAAAGGTAATAAGGAAACGGATCTAGCAGCCAAGTCAGCTTTTAGATGTGAATGTGGATACAAGGACCAAAATCACATACACAGATTTTAAGGAGGTTATTAATAAACACATTCCAAAAGGAATGGCAGTAGTACTGGGATGATAACCCACATAATAAACGCAATCCAGCCCAAACTAGGAGAATGAAAACCAAATGCCTACATTTCTGCAAATAAAAAATAAAGCCATCTATACAGATGGGTCAAATGTGCCAAAATATTACTCAAAAAAGGTGCCTCTGAAAGGGAAGCACATCAGAAAGGCCCCCAGAAAGTTTTGTAAGGAAGTGGTACTGGCTTGAGTACACATTTTCCATACAAGAATAACCCACTTACTAAGCAAAGATCAACCAGTATACCAAGTGCTCAGATCGTGCTCTCTCAAGACAAAAATATTATAAAATAAACGATATATATGAGCCTTTCAAAAAGGTAAATGTGGATGATATAATATCACTTCTCAAAATAGTATGACTGTACCAAAAATTATAAACCAAATGAGAATGTTAAAATCAATTTCTCTACAAACCGTGTGTCTTTTATTTAGTCCACAGGTTTAGGTTGTTCTAATTTCACATGCCATGCCTTTTTTTTTCTTTTTAAATCTTGGTTTCAGTTAATTCCTTGTGTGTAACTCAATTCCAACTACTTGTTCTCTCTGCTGTGGCCAGCTATTGAATTTATAACCTTTTGGGTCAAGTCACTTTTTGGATTACTTGACCAACACTTTTATATACACTGGGCCATGTATAATAAAAATACCAACAGTACATTTTATCATCTACAAACTATTTATCTAAAAAAACATTTTTCTACTGCAAGTATAAAATTGTATAAAATATCTGTTGTTGAAAGCATAAAAATTACGTATAAAATATTTAGATTTCAGTATTAAATAGAGGTTGATCTTCCACTAAACAGAATCAACCCAACCTGTTCTGTTTTTGAAACAAATTGTAACCATATTTACATTTGTTATTGTCTAGGGACAATAGCGGAGAAGATTAAAGCATTGGTTCAAGAATTTGGCAGCATAGTAATTGTGAGTTCAATTACCAGGCCAGTTAAAAAAAAAAAAGTTATATCCTTAGATATGGACAGTGAAATGAGCACAATCTGTAGATTAAATAAAGGATTCCCTAAAGATTATCCAGTATACAGACATCTGAAAAAGACTGAAGAGCACAAGAGCTGAAATGTTGTTGTTGTTTTTGTAACACTAATAATAAAGATCAGGATATTAGTTGAACTGGAATAACAATAACTACACATGCCTGGAATTTGGACAGAAATTGTGACGTCCAATAAAGTGCCCATGTAAGAGATTATAGGGTCAAACAAAAACCATTATTAACTAGTACCAATAGCAAGCCTTCATCTAAAAGTGATGCCATGTACATATTGGAATTAGAGGAGTCTTTTATTATAGATTCCTTCCAGAGAAGCAAAAAAACTGATTACACAAAGTTATTCAATTATTGCATTTAGGGAAAACCAAATATGAGTCTATGATTTTAATGGTTAATTGATTTTTGCTTTCTTTTATTTCAGATTTCTATACTTGATAAATAGTCAATCTTCAAAATTAAAGTTTTTCATTTAAATTTACTTTTTCCACTTCAGATCTTTGGGCCAGTAATGCAGATTATGAAATTCAAAAATATAGAAGAAGTAATTGAACGAGCCCACAACACGATTTATGGCTTGGCTGCTTCAGTTATTACAAAAGACTTGGATAAAGCTCTCTATTTGTCTAATTCTCTTCGTGCTGGAACTGTCTGGTAATCTTTATTTTGCCTTAATTATCTGCGGATTTGTAGCCTCATCAAATTTTTCTGAAGTAAAGTTTGTAAAATTTAGATTAAAAAAAAAATGTAAATAAAGTAAAAATTACATTAATCATTACTTTTGACCATAATAAACTTTACATATTCAAGATTCTTTAAAACAATCTTTATATATTTTCAACTTTGGCTGTTACAGATCAAAGGGACATAACTATTTATCTTACTGTAATTTCAGTCTTGATAAGTGAAAGAAATGGTAGATTAATACATCTGATTAACTCTGTATTATTCCAATAAAAAAAATATTGAATAGATAAAAGTATGTTTTATTTATTTATTTTTTTCTTTCTCGGACAATTATTTCAGTTAATTTTGTTTTGAGAAAATGAATATCTAAAATATGACTAGCATTTATAATTCTTCTTGCTTAGCCCAAAAGTAAAAAAAAAAAGTAATTGCATTAGATAAAAATATTTTTATTACAAAATGTTTCCAAAAATATTACTTTAAATACAAAAATTTTTTTAAATTCAGGAAATTTCTTAATTCTTTTTATTGTTCTTTCTTTAATGCTTTTTTTTCTTATTCTCTCAGTAACCCTGTGTGTCTTAGTGGCTTTATTGCCTTGCTTGGGGTGAAATGTTAAAAAGAAATTATTTCATTACAAAATCTTTCCAGAAATATTTTTTTTTACAAAGATAACTTCATTACAAAATGTAAAACATTTTGAAATGAAATTGTCAAGTTTTTTTTTTTTTTTTTTATACATCAAATTAATATTATTCTATGTAATTTTATTTATTTTGTTTTTTTCATCAGGGTGAACTGTCATAATGTGTTTGATGCTGGTACACCATTTGGTGGCTATAAAATGTCTGGCAATGGAAGAGAACTGGGAGAATATGCACTGGATAATTACACTGAAGTTAAAACAGTAAGTAATTCTCCCCTTCACATCTTCCACTACACTTAACATTCATCCAATTATCATTTTTAAGTTTGAAATTGACAGCCATAATTTGATTCCTCGTTTGATAAGGCTTAAAAAAAAATTGGATGATTGGTGGTTAACATTCCATTGTTGATTAATTACCTACTATCAAATTACCAGTAATGTTTACCTTTACCTTTGAAAAATAAGCAATTTCTCAACTGTCATCATCACCTGCAGAGGGTACAGATGTGGGCTACACACTCCTTGTTTCACTTGATTATACTAGTTAAAACCCTCTTGATTTAAAAATTCAAACCTAAACCTTTCCAGGTACTAAGTTTATTGTAATTAAATGCCTTTCATTTCTTTTAAAAACATTAGAAAAATCAAACCTCAGAGTACTTATGGTCTGTTAATAAAATCCAAAATACCCAACTTGGTTTTCTGGGCTTTCACATCAAGTTGAGACCAGGTATAGAGTCACTTACTTCTACCCAGCTTGCCTTGCTAGGCTTTTCATGTCCACTTCTCAAGTTAATTTTCATTCTAACTGACACCAAGTAGATTAAATTACAATCACAGCAATTTACATCCAATTGTTTGCTGATTACAAATTCATTTGTTGATAAAAAAATAGCACAATTGTTGTTTCTTCTACAACATTTCTTGTTTTATCCTGCTTAACAAAATTGCTGTTCAGTGAGTCACTGAAAGATATTTTGTCTTTTTATGGCTGTTCAGCTTTTTATATATACACCTAATTTGATTTTAGTCTTCAAACAAAATGTTAGTCATGTTTTCTATGTAACTGCAGTATAATTTGTCAAGTGTAAAAAGTGCAGAGGACATGAGGTATCATTTTTTTCATTTACTTATGCATATGGTGTTTTGAAAAATACTGAACCATAGAAGAAAATATTACAATAATTCAAACTTTCAAGCAACTTTGAATGTTTAAAGTATCTGTACTGATGTTTGCATGCTTGAATAGGATCTGAAATGTTCTTGGCTGAATTTTGTAGATGATCCAGAGGAAAAAATTGTGAGGGTCAGGGAAACATTAGGTGGGCATTAAACTGGACCGTATCTTCCAATCCTCTTAGTAAAACACTTCATCTAAAGTAGTCATTACACTAATAACAAAATATAGCCCTTCTGTCAAATAAAGATCATCTAATACAGTGAATGCTGCTCAATTCAATTCACTTTCTGAAATCTGACCAGATACCCCCCCTCTCTCTCTCTCTCTCTTTTTTCTTTTTTTTTTTTTTTTTTTTTTTTTTCCTTTAGTACTTTTCCTTTTTTTTTTCTTTTCTTTCAGTTGTCCCCACCCCGTTGTTTTTGTTTTTTGTTCTTTGTGGATCTAGTTTTACATTCGAAAAATTTCAGAGCCTTTTATCATTTGATTTTGAATCCATAAAGCTGAAAACAATATTGTTAAATAAGAAAAATAACAAGAACTTTTAAAACATTGTATTTTATTTTCTCTCCCAAAAAAGAGGTTACATGCATGAAATGTAATAATTGCTTGATTTGAGTGACAATTTAAATTTTTTTTTTCTTTGAATTTATTGCATATTCAGAAAATAGGCATCATTTTTTTTTTTTTTTTTTTTTTTTTTAAATCTCTATATCAATATATATTCTCAATAAAAAAGATCCACCTATCAAATAAAAGATTCAGCTGCAAAGTCTGTCCAAAATGAAATAGTTTTCAGGATCCCTTATACAAACTTGAAAAGTAAAATAAATGGTTTCATAGAAATAGAAGTACTGGACCGACAATGCAAATTGGTCCTAGGTGAATGGAGGCAGGTATCTAGAAAAGGAAAACTATTATACATAATGTCCTGCATTTAAAGAAATAAGTTTATACCAAAACATAACACCTACAATAGATCTACAAACTATATATCTATAAAACCTACATTTACCTCCAAAGTATAAAAGTATGTACAAATATCTAGTTGAGGGCATAAAATTGCATTCAAAATATATGTAGCTGAAGCCATAAAATTACATACAAAATATTTAGATTTCAACATTAAATAGAGGTTGACATGCCTTTAAACAAAATCCACCAAAGTACCAAATATAAAAAATCGATATAACTAATATTTAATACAATGATCATTGTGATGCATCTTATAAATGACATTATTTACATCTTGTAAATCTATACCTTATGCAATTGAGGCTAATCTTTTGACAATTGCAAAAATCATATTTTGGACTTTGCCTTGCTATTTTGATCCCAGATTCTCATAAAATTGTTTAGTTAAAAAAAACAATTTATATTGCCTTGTTTTAATATTTGTGGTAAAACAAGAATTTCCAGCTTCATTAATACTGATGTTCTTTTTCTTTCAGGTAACCATCAAAATTCCTGAAAAGAACTCTTAAGATGACAATGAATTCCTGGCTCAAAAAAAAAATATCTAGTTATTTTTTTATTCTGCATATAGTAAACTGAATTTGTAGTAATTATTTTTATAATGTATTGATATTTTTTCTTTTTACTCTTGAAATGATGATAGTAGCACTTTTTTTTTATTCATTCTTTTATTGACACTTTGTTCCTTATAATGAATAATTTTATAATAAATACTTGAACCATACACTTTGACATACTTTTTCGTTTTTTTTCTTAACATTCAAAGAAATATTCTCCGAATTTTAGAGGTATTCTAGTAAATAAGTTTAAGCTTTTTGAAAACAAAATTCAGTACATCTGTAAGCAGAATGACTCTATTCAAGAGTTTGACTGAAGCAGACAAGAATTAAAAAAAAAAAAAATTAGGATGCACAGAAAATTATAGGAACACAGTATTTCTAAATACAAATGTATAACTTTGTTCCATTAGAATTGGTCAATATAGTAAAAAAAAATAACTAGCAACATGAAACCTTCTGTAAAATGTCAAGCAAGCTCATTGCAGCCATATTTAATAAGTATTAAGCACATTAATTAGTTCAGTATACAATCAATTGTGCCTTTTTAAACTGTTTAAATAAATCTGACTCTAAAACTGAAATATGTTAAGCAGAGGGACCACATAGTGACTAATAGTGTTGTTGATCAAGGTTCTGCATTACTTAACATTCATTAGTACTTTGTGTACCTTAACTTTTCTTTTCAATAATACGAGCACTGTTATAGCTTTATGTATTACAAACTCACTGGATTATTTGGGATAATTTTGAAAGTACTAAACAATGGCAAGAAAAAGAACAATTACACTTAACATCATGAAAGAGGGACTGGAAAATTTGATACTCACAGGACAGATTGGAGGTAAGGGTGGGGGCAGAGGAAAGCAATGCATAACCTACATGACAAGCTTGAGTGAATTGGGAGAGATGACAAAAAGACAAGTTAATAAGAGCTAAAAAGGACAGGAGATTGTGGAGAGCCATGACTGCTAATGTCCTGAAAGGACATAGCAAAGAAGAAACATGGAATACTAATGGGCTGTTGTTGCTGCTATCATTACTAAGCGTAGTTGTAAAAGTAATAACAATAAAAGAAAATTGCTCAAATTCTAACCTGCTATCAATGCCAGTTTGGTATTTACATTATAGTAGGTACATAGATTGCAATGGCAGATAATAAATGTAATTTTGCGTTACATTCTAAAGGGGAAAAGCTAAGAGGTATCGAGTAATTTTGTGGATGCAAATCCCTTCCCTTTTTTTTTTTTTTTTTTTTTTTTCTTTTCTGTAATAAAGAAAATAATCTAGTTTCTATTCATAATATTCATGACAGGATTCTTAATATTAAAACTCATTTGTGAAGACAGATTAAATAAGGAAATTTCATAATGACTGACATTTTTAGCAGAGAGTTAATTTTCAGTCCTCCAAAAATTTGGTATACCTAAGGTTTAAATGTATTTTCATAAATGAAAAATCTTTCTTTTTAGCCTCAATTGAAAACTAAAGGATTAAATTTTCTAATTCCAGAAAGCAAAATACTGCAGTGTATTTCAATTAGAAATTAGAATGATTTTTAGTCTTTTTTTTATTTATTTTTTTTTAATATTTATTTTTTTTTTTTTTTTTTTCATAAAAACCAATCAAAACGACCATTTTTAATTTTTTTGACAGATTGTAAGCAAAACTTAATTCTTAGTTTTAAAAATCTTGCAAAAATAAAATATATTTCTGAAATGTTATTTATGTATAATTAGCAAATTTTAAAGTTAAATTAATCTGTTCTGAAACAAATATTACTTATAGCATAAAATTTTCTATACAAGCATTTCTTGACCATGGGGTCTTGTTATTCTCATGTCTCCATTGATAAATTGTTGACAGGTTAAGTATGGTGGACCAAAATTGACATAAGTTTATGAATTCTAAGTAAAAACAGTTTTTTTTTTTTTTTTTTTTTTTTTTTTTTTTAACTACCAGGTAATTTTTAAAAATTAAAATACTTTAAGCAATTGTTTAATATTTTATTTAATTTTTTCAGGTACTTAACATTACAATTGAAGATGCTTTCTGAAAATATATTAAAATTTAAGATACTATAAAAATTTTTTAAATTAATAGCATTTCATAAATTATTGAATTACCTCTAATTTTTTAACCCTTTCTACCATGTTTGAAATTTTTTTGTTTCAAATCAAATTAATTTAACTTTAAATTTGCTAATTTCCCTAAATATTTTAAAAAAAATTTTGAAAATGAGAATTAACTTATTGTTTACAAAAAATGGCAAGATTTTTTTATAACTTTTTCTTTTTTAACTGACAAAATAAATACAAAAAGCATTCTACTAATCGATATACAATTTCTGAAATGAACCGGAGTATTTTGCTTACTGGAAATAGTAACAATTTATTTTTTAATCATTTAGCTTTCAATTAAAGCTGAAATGAAAGCTTTTTCATTTTTATTTTTTAAAACTTGGGTATTGAGAATTAGTGGAGGTACCTACCACAATTAAAAAAAAATAAACTAAACATTAAGTTTAAAATGAAATATAGGGTTACCTTTCAAAGGTTTCTTTTTTTTTTTTATCAAAAAATAACACAAAAAAAGAATAAAGAAACTTTAAAGAAATTAAAAAAATAAAAAAAATTTCTTAAGTAAAACAAAGATTTATGAGCGTAAAGGGGGACAACTTTTGAAAATCGCGACCTAATGACCTTGCATATGAAACCTCAAAACATTTAGACAAAAAAATTTTTAATTATTGTAAAAAAGTTTTTGGTGGGATGATATGTATTAAGCTTTTCAGTTTTCGCTTAATTAATATAGTCTTCTCTTAATAACCTAACTTTATCGATGTTTAAGAATTTTAAAACATTTAAAAAAAGCAAAATGCAAACAATTCTTGTAAAAATTCATTATTCATCAAAAAAAAATTTTCTTAAGATTATGTCCTTAATATATATTATTTATAGAAGCAGTCCTATCTAATTAAATAACTATAGTTTCATTGCAGTTTTTATTTTGTGATTTGGAGCAGATTTTTTTGAAAGTTGGTAATAGTTTGTAAAAAGCAAAAATTGATTTACATTCTCCAAGGTGTCCTGCTTTTAACTAATAAAAAAAAAACATTTCCTTGGCAATTTTAAATTCTAGAAAATTTTATGAAATTAAGTAAGCAGGTTAACAGATGAAGAAAAAAAAAAACTTTTACCTAGATTTTCTAAAAATAATTTCATTCATTTGTAAATGAATCCTTAAAGTTTTATTAAAATCTGACAATTATTTGATTTTGATTTTTAGCAAGAGTTTCAAAATTAATTTGTTTTTCACCGGAAAAAATGGCACAAAAATGCCCATTACTAGCTCTGTTACACTGTTGACAAAAAAAAAAAAAAATTAACACAATTTGAATGTTAGAAAGGAGTAAAAACAGAAATTTTTAAATTAAAAAATACTTTTGTCTTTCCTCTTAATAATACTTTGTTTTTAAGTTTGGGGCCTCTTTTTTATTATGGTATGATCTTTTTTTAGCGAATTATAGGAGGTACCTACATTACAGAAACTACAAGACTAAGAAAAAGATTCAACATCAAAGCAAGAAAAGTGTTCCTGTAGAATTTAGCTATTAGTATACTTGGGAATAGTGATCTCTTGAATGATGGTACAGAGTATTAAAATTGAAGCGTAGAAAGCATTCTCTTTTGCCATGCTTAAAAAGTGGCAGACTGGGTCAAAGGAAGCCTACCTGCAAATACAATGCTATCATTTAATTTTCATAATGAATAAATAAAATGTTTTAAAATATACTTATGGAAAAACGTATTTTTTTTTAGTGTTTAACAGTATACATGTAGGCTACATATCTACTAGCAGTAGATACCAAAATGTAAATACAGATTTTTATGATTTATTTATTTTTTAAATCTTAATTGGTTGATATTTTAGAATAATTTACTGCACAATTTACACATTAACATATTTCAAAAGCACACTAGAGCATTGCATGCAGCCTTCTATATTCAAAGCAATAATTTGTTCATTAGATGATTGTATGAAACAGCTAATAATTACTTCTGATAATTCATCTAATAATTCCTTTTTAATGGATAGCAAAATGAATGATTCCAAATTCTCCTTAGACAACACATTCCTTAACCTTGTCTTTACGATCTTTAGCTTTGAAAATGTCTTTTCACATTGGACTTTAGTAACTGATAATTTGCTGATTTTATACAGTTCTTATTACTTTTTATTATTAAAACAGTTGTTTGTGTTTGTTTCTTTATTGCATTTTTATTTGGTACAGAGGGCCCACTCCATCAAGGACCCACTTGACATTGAGCAAGCTGATACTCTGGCCAGTTTTCTACTGCTTATAAGTGAATACAAGTTCTTTCAACTAAAACCTTATCTTGCTATGAAAGGTTATATTGTAATTCTGTCTTCTGACCTTTACAAAAGATAATACACAAATTTTACTCTTCCAAATGTGATTTGAAAATATGGATTACATTTGACACTGCTTACATAAGGAAACAATAGGAAAATATTTTATAAATTTAATATTAGTATATATATATGTATGTATCCATTTTAAAATCCCTCCCCAACTTTTTTTTTTTTTTTTTCTTAAATCTTCACTCAATACATGGCCCAAGAGCCACTTAAGCTTAAAGTTTGCTGTGGAGAAACTAGATGCAGATATATCTAGGTTAGATTACAGTTGACCCCTAGACTTAAAGAAGTTAAGATTATAGTGGTTACGGAAATATTCTCCTGGAAGTTCATAGTAAAGTGCTGCCTTGTGGAACAATATGCCTGGCATGATGAGTCTTCATCATAAAGGTTAAAACTTTTTTTTTTCCACCCTAAACAAGGCAATAAAGCCACTAAGATGCAGAGGGTTACTGAGTGAGAGAATATGTGGAAAAAAAACATTAAAGAAAGGTAATAAAAAAACATGA